CAAACAATGGTATACACACTAGCGTAGAGAGAGATAAGGGCCTGACAAAAGCTTTATTTTGGAGTCTTTTTTTGGAATTGATCTCGTACCGCTATTGTATATACTACTATGCGTCTTGCTGTTCTTTGTTTAACGCTACACTCAGCAATATTTCAGGCATATGGCGTCCGTTTGTAAATAATCAAGATCCAAGGAATCACGTCGCGTCTGGACCAAATAATCCAGTGATCAATAGAATGGGTATCGATCTACGCAACTAAGATACATCATGTGTCAATTGTGTCAGCAAGCCTGACCACCCTATTCCGTTAGTCGCCTCTTAAAAGCATAGGTTGCCGAAGATCAATTCTAACCCGGGCATCTTGCTGGTAACAGCACTAGCGAAATCAGAATCGTGGGATTTGAGTCCAGAATATCCAGGCATGCAAAAAATAACAACCATGCTTTGAAATATTTATTTACAATCGTCTTGAATAGACACGTGTACATACAGACAGATGTAGAAGTTATTACAAGGGCAAGTTTTCTGCTATGCTGAATTAAGCTATTACTGTACATGCCATGACTGTTTGACTGAGTTTGGTTTTACGCCGCTTTTAGTAATATTCCAGCAACATCACGGCAGGGGACACCATAAATGGGCTTCACACATTGTACCCATGTAGGGATTCGAACCCGGGTCTTCAGCGTGACAAGCGAACGCTTTAACCACTAAGCTACCCCACTGCCCTACAGGCCATGAACTGACAGCTTAGGTTTATGTACAATAGTAACAAACTCTACACTCTAAGCATGATGGGAATAACCCCGTACAGTGACAGAGCAGTACATTTAATTCTGTAAGGTCCAAGGTACATCATTGTGTTCGTACTTTAACCGACCGCCTCCGTGGTGTAGTCGTTAGAGCGTCCGCCCGGAGAGCGGAAGGTCGCAGGTTCGATCCCGACCGCCATACCATACCAAAAGACGTTAAATATGGTACTTGTTGGTCCCTGCCTGGCTTCGGCATTAATGGGTACAACAAGGACTGGTCGGCTATGAGTAAGTATAATGTGTCTGAGTGGGGTATTCATGCTTCACTGCGGCATGGTATCTCAGTGGGCTAGCACTATAAGACCAGCTTAAGTCTGGGCTAGTACAAGCAGCCACACATACACATACACACACATGCACGCGTCATATGAGCGAAATATTCTCAAGCACGCGACGCTAAACCCCATATCACCTCACCTTGTACTTAACCCACTCAGCAATGTGAATACACAATGCCATTTAGATTGGGGTTACATGTAAACAATGTGCCGTGGGAGCCGTTTACATTTCTCAGAGGGGTACACAAAGACTATGGTCTAGACTACCAGTCGTCCGACATCCGTTTTCTGGAAGTCGCGGTGGCTGAATGGGTTAGCAGAGATGCCAACCCCAAAGTGTTGCAAGTAGTAGTGTCATGGATCAAAATCACTAGTTTGACCATAAAATTAGTAGTCCTCTAAATACTTAAAATCAAGAATGAAGCTCTAATTCGTATAATCGAACGGAAGGAACGGTCACGTGGTTCAATCATTCCGATAGGATCGTCATTTTCCGCTGGTAAACAATAAGTGGGTCAAATCGCAAATTGAAATCAGTTTCAGATTTCTGATATATAGACATTTTTACTAAATTTACGTTTGTAACTTGCAATGATTCCAGTTAAAATATGTCATAAAATTGGATGAATGGAAGGTATGTGAAGTCCGAAAATGTATTTAATCGACGAACATATATGTTTTTGTCTATATATCCGAATTTTAATGAATTTTTTCTTCAAATTTCGTAGTATTTCTAATGCAATCGTACTGGCGTAGTTTGAGGCTAAAATTCATAGCGACTACGATAAAATCGTAGACGTTGGCATCTCTGGGTTAGGCGTCTGACTTTTTGTGCTGGCGATTAGGTGCCTGACTGTGAGGGTGTGGGTTTGAATTCCGGATGGGACTCAACCCAACAAATGTACTTTACTAAGAAAGTGGTAATTCGAAATAAAAAATATGTTACGCTCAGCAATATTTCAGCTATATAATCTGCTTATCTGAAAAAACATTATTGAAGTGATACAAGATTGTAAATATTTTAGTCTGGTCCAGACAATCCAGTGACTGACATCATGAGAGCTGATCTATACAATTGGGATGCTATGACATACATCAACTGAGCCGCCCAATGGGATATGGGATGCTGAATGACGATACTAACCTGGATCTTCCCAGAGGCAATAATGACAATACATTTCCCCCAAAGTAACTGATACAGCCCTTCTGATCTTCCTTAAAGCATTACATCACATGAAGATTCATAGAAGAGGAGAGACTTGATTGGATGAAAAGCTCTATCACAGATCTGGTAGAAGCCTTCTGATTGGGTGATCTGGTAGTTCTATTGGGGTAATACTTTCTCCAAAGTAATTGATACAACACAACTGATATATCATGGAAATATTATACAACAAAGTTCACAAAAGAGGAGACTGACTGACTGAGTTTAGTTTTACCCCGCTTTTAGCAATATTCCAGCAATATCACCGCGGGGGACACCAGAAATGGGCTTAACACATTGTGCCAATGTGGGGAATCGAACCCGGGTCTTTGGCGTGACGAGCCAACGCTTTAACCACTAGGCTACCCCACCGCCCCTCACAAAGGGGAGAATCCTGATTGGCTGTAAAGATCTATTGCACATCTGGTTGAAGCCTTCTGATTGGCTGATCTGGTAGTTCCATTGTGTTTATACTTTCCCCAAAGTAACCATACAGCACATCTGATCTTCATGGAAACAATACACAACATAAAGATGCATAAAAGAGGAGAGTCTTGATTGGCTGAAAAGCTCTATCACAGATCTGAAAGAAGTCTTCTGATTGGCTGATCTGGTAGTTCCACTGGGGTAATCACATGTTTGGCAAAAAGCAGTTTGCATGGACCACAATAAACAAGATTTACCTAACCTTGAGAGTTAAAACAAATACAAAATACCTACACAGCCATGAATTTAAGTTTATCAAACACAAAAACATCACTTTGGATTTGTCCAATATATATAACAATGCACAAATACTTGAAACTATTTACATTAAATTGATTTCATTGCACAAAATACTACCATCATAATATACAGATTACTCATGCATAAAATCAAGTTCAATAACACAAAGTATTGGCCATTGTTTTGATAGTATCATAAGAAAACACCCCCAAATATCCTGACACCAGTGGATACGTCATCATCAAATTGTATACCCGTTCTTCCTTAACAGAACATACCCAACATCCCTAAACTTTTAGAGACGGGTGAGTGAGTTTAGTTTTATGCCGTTTTTTGGCAAATTCTAACAATATCATGGCAGGGCACACCGAAAAGGGATTCACACATTGTACCCATGTGAGGAATCGAACCCGGGTCTTTGGCATGAGGAGTGAATGCTTTAACCACAAGGCTACCCTAACAGAAACAATATCTTTATAAATGTAGACGAAAAAATGCAAACTGACTTGTTTTATGAGACTGCAATTTTTTTCATATCAGTTAAAAACCTTTGACAGTGTCAAGAAAATTTGAGATAAGAAAATTCTGAGTTATTTCACTTGGGATATCTAGCGTAGGCAGATGAGAAACACCGAAAAACATGAGAAAAGCCTGTTACAGGTGACAACAATTTGTCAATGACGTAACTCGCATGTCTCATATTGGCACAAAATAATAACAAACAAATGCCACTGACGTCAGTGTGCATGACAAGATGTACACCATAAAAGTCTACAAAATCAACCTGGTTACACAACAATGGCTATAAACATATATCTTGAAGAGTTACTTCCCTTTGAATCACAATCACGTTGAGTTCTGGAGAGATTCTTCATTGGTAGCTGGTAACATACATCTTGAAGAGCTTCCAGTGTGTGTGAAAGTGGGTTTAATATCAATTTGAACAGCATTCCAGTTATATGGCAAGTCGGTACGATATGGGACGAACGCCCAAAGTGAGGCTGGCCCTTCAGTTTACTGTCAGTGAAACCTGGGCTATGGATATGCCGCCAACAAAAACCAGAAACATCATCAGGCCTTACTTGGGATTCGAACCATGAATGATAGTGAATCCAAGGGAGGCAACACTGTACAGACAAGTGGCATTAAGACAACTGGGTTGTCCCCGTCTCCAACAAGGGAGGTAACTTATACAGGACTTGTGACTTGAGATAATGAAAGACTTACTGTGAATCCATCAGTAATCTACAAATAAGGGCTTAAAAGGACTCCTCTTGGTTCATGATAAAATATAAAAACCTCACCTGGCAAACATAGTAAACACCCAAAATTTTCTGACTGAATAATTGAGTCTGGACCAGATAATCCGGTGATCAACATCATGAGCATCAATCTACGCAATTGGGATGTGATGTATGTGTCAACGAAGTCAGCAAACTTGACCACCTGATCCTATTAGTCACTTCTTACAACAATGTTTTAACTTGTCTATAATGAAGATAACTACAGCTGGGAAATTGTACCTATAGTAACTCCATTACTTCCAACACATTTCAGAGAGCGCAAGTTCTTCCTCGGATTCTTCACTGGAACTAACCATCACACAGCGTTTAAAACTCCCGCCTGCCCGACCGTCCGGAACGGTCTATATCAAAAGTAGCCTGTCCTGTGGTCTGGTAGATATTTTTACCCGTAAGAGTAAATATTTCATATCAGACAGGTTCTCTTGTCGTCAGTTTGAGGTGTTTAAGGTATTATGAAAATCATGTTAAACTACATACGATTGTACAGTTCATGTTACGATAACCAATCATCACACATGTACTTTCAGTTTACCTAAACTCGATGCATTGCCTGTTAGTGCTATGTAGTTCATTGCGATGCCTACAAACAGTAAATGGAGCTTGCGCGAGTTGGAAATGGCAGTCAGTTTTTCTATATTTGACAACCGGACAGGCAAGTTTGTATCCGGACTGGTAATTTTTTAAGTTACCAGTCCGGCTGTCTGGCTTGAAATTTTGGGAGTTTTAAACACTGCATCACATCGAGAGTATTTTTTTCTGCTGAAATCCACTGCTTCAAATACATATACAAAACTACTTTCATACCCATACGGGTAGCTGGACTCAAGATTATAAATCTTCAGTAATGATCTTGAGATCAATTGTTTTCTATAAATAACTCAGATTTTCATCAATCGGCAATATTAGCCTTTTGGATTGAGGATTAAGATTGTTCTCCAATGTGCTTTGAATATTTTAACTTTAAATGACAGTTTTTCATTAATTGGCCGGAATCATTTGTTTGTTCTCTCTATGATATAGAACAAGACCTTGCACCATTGTGGAGTCTGATTCTGAATATAAATCTGCACCTTAATAAATGTCCACCCATCCATCCATCCATCCATCCATTCACCCATCTATCTATCCACCGTCCAATCCATCCATTCACCCACCCACCCATCCACTTATCGATCCATCCATCCATCCAGCCACAAATCCATATATCCACCTATCCATACAGCCATCCAAGAACTGTACAAAGGGCCAGATAAGTCGTGAACTCATCACACGTGTGCTACGTCAACTGACCATCCCTCACTTGTCAATTTTAACTAAGATATTTAATTTGCATTGTTAGTTTCTTCTCATTACAACGAAACCCCAGATTACGACAAAATGTCATTGAGATGCTGTCAGCGCTACAGCTGAGGGCTGTATTTAGATGCTGTAAGCTCTACAGGGAAGGGCTGAAAATAGGTGCTGTAAGTTCTATGGACGTGTAGTACAGTACAAAGGCGGCGGATGTCTGCAACAAAAACAAAACAAATGACTGAATTAGTGATTCTGGCAATACAGCTAACACTAGGAATGGGACGATTCACCGATGCACCGATACATCATGATACATTTAAGTTTGATACAGCTATCGTATCGTTGACTGGTGTATTGATACAAAACGATACACAACTTTTTTCAAAACAGTAATTTCTAAAACATGTTAAAGTAATTATTTAGACAAAAATACGCAAGCATGATCGAGTTACTTGACTACTTATTACAATAGTGTTATTGTTTTACACAAATACCTTGATCATTTTAAATCTTAATACTGTGTCATTCTTTCAAGGTGTATGTATCGTGATACGTATCGTATCGCAGGTAAAATATCGCAATAGGTATCGTATCGTGACATAGTGTATCGTCCCATCCCTAGCTAACACTGAGAACACAGAATACAGATTCATAACAACAGATAACAGATTTGAACAGATAACAAACCCTGATAACATATACACTGTGGTTGACTCACGTCCCCTGCTCATGTTTTTATTTATTTTTTTTAACCATACTGGCTGTCTTTAAATTTTAAAATTAAGTAAAATTTATCAAAAGCAATTTCCCCAACATGAGTGTGTGTTTGTTGTCAACATTCAACCTATCAGGCTTGAAAATAATCCAACACCTAACCCACTGTTAACCGGCAGTGTTTAGAAGATAGCAAGCAAACTCCATGTTAAACATCCAAGCTGGAGGTTGCTTGATTCAAAGACCTCACTAACCTCATTACCCTAAATTTGAGTGAGTGAGTTAAAAAATTTACATCGCATCAGCAATATTACAGCCATATAGCGATACAAACAAGGTAATCAATTTAAAATATCTGTCGACAAAGGACAGTAGAACCAACTAGACTATCACATATATATATTTAAAACTAGTAATGAAATCTAAAATACTTTAACTATAGAGGAAAATACAGTATAAAAAACAGGCTATAGATCGCCAACAACTGAAGGTAGATCACCATACTAGGAACCATGGGGACTTACACAATTGCTTCCTGCATGGGCCCTAGCTGGATTTACACCATCCCTTCAGCCGCTGGCGATTGTAGGAAAAGTTTAGCCGAATTTTAAGAACAAAAATACTACGTTTAAAAATCTGGTAAGCTTAAATTTAACTTTGGAAGTTTTGGGACTTATGTACTAAATTTGAAAACACTGCAAAACTGAAAAACTTACCTTGACATCGGAGCGTGACATTTCATACACCTCGTGGTCATCATACTTGTACCATTTCTTGGTGCAGGGGTTTCGACAGAAGGCTGTGTCTGAAAGAAGGGTGAGTGAGTGAGGTGAGTTTAATGCCGTTTGAAAAATATGTTTGTTTGGTCACTTCATGGGTCAAGTTTTGCACAGACAACCAATGTGCGTCCTGTTTGTATACATGCTGTGATGAGATGCAGAAAAAAAATAAACTGCATCTTAACTGATGCACCAACATATTCATTGTACCTACAGGGCATGTGGTGAGTGAGTGAGTGGTTGGGTGGGTGGGTGAGCGAGCGAGCGAGCGGAGTGAGTGAGTGAGTGAGTGAGTGAGTGTGTGAGAGGAGGTGTGGTTTACACTGCTTTTAGCAATATCCCAGCAATATCACGGCGGGGGACACCAGAAATGGGCTTCACACATTGTACCCATGTGGGGATTGAACCCGAGTCTTCAGCGTGACGAGTGAACGCTTTAACCACTAGGCTACCTAACCGTTCTACAGGGTATCAGGAGCAGCTATGGGCATCGGACATTTCACTTAGACAACTGTCTACATGATCACTGATACATTGCTGGTTCTATCATCAAAACAACAGTACGCTACACCTTTCCTCGCTTTAGAGGACACTCATTGTCTGCAAGACCCTAAACATTCGAACAAACCTGTAGAGGTTGCTGATTCTTTGATGAGTCCTCCTTGGGGTATACATAAGCATTAAAATGTCCATTTTAAAAATAAATATTTACAAAACAAAAAACTTAGTTTTTGTTAAATACAGCGTTCGAAATTAACGTCTGTCCTTAAACTCAAAATTAACGTCTGTCCTTAGGCCCGAAGCCGACTGAAAACCACTCAGACCCACAGCTTATGTTTTCTGCAGGTACTCATAGCTGACAGCTTTTTCATCCCCAATAAACAAGAGTATTATTGCCATATTAAATATAGGTCCTATAAATTCTGATCAGGACCCACAACTTTTTTGTGGTTCTGGGTCCCGCCGCTTTCCAACAGGGCAAACACTGGTTAAATATCAGCAAGTGACTGTGACTGTCAGTCTGTCAGCTAATTCAGTTACATGGCGCTGCCCTGGGCCCCGTTTCACAAAGCTATCGTAGCGCTACGACTGTCGTACCTCCTATACTGTAACATAGACTTACCACAGTCAGGGCGCTATGATGGCTTTCTGAAACAGGGCACTGAATACTAGAAGAACAGTGCTTAACAACAGAAAGACTTTGTAACTTATAAGAAATATTTATCCCAACTCTGAGATTTCATTGTTCCCTTTATGTACAAAGTCCTTCATGTCACTTACAGTGGCCTCCTTCCATGGTCCCGTAGTGATTCTGAAACAAGAAAATAACACAGGTACAGAAGCTCACCTTCCCTAAAAAGATACTGCCACAGCAAAGTATGGAGTCAGTTAAAAGCATCCAAAAAGACGTACAGTTCTAAAATATTACTGTCAGCATTTGAATTCAAATATCATCCGCATAAATAACTAAAAACTAAAATCTAACCATTTGAACAAAATATGATGTCATGATACCAAAGTAGAGACAATTGTCAGCTTACAAAGTCTCATTTTTTTCTGAGGTGAAACGATCAGTGTCAGTTTGTTTTTGTGAGAATTTAAGAGCATTGTCACATATTTCAACAACTTCTTATTTTTCTTCAACTTTGGAAAAATGACAGAGATTTATTGACACCAGAAGTGATGGTTTTATGCTGCTTTAGCAATATTCAGCAATTCAGTAATGGGCTTCACACATTGTACCCATGTGGGGAATTGAACCTGGGCCTTTGGCGTGACGAGCAGACACATTAACCGTTAAGCTACCAATCTCCCCTACAAAGGACCGAGCTCATGTAAATTCTTTACCAAAATGGCGTAAGGTAACTGGAATTTGTCAGTCTAGCCAAAGGGTGTACTTACCGAGATGCCATAGAGGTTGTATCTGGTGTTGGACTTGGGGTCGCTGACATGCTCTCTCATGTCCATATCGCTCACCGGGAAGTCCACGTAGCTTGTCGATTTCTGGGTCCACATCCCGTCACTCACAAATCTGAAGTACATCATTTTAAAAGCGTTTAGTATGAAACACTCGTCTGTATTTTGATATATACGTAAGGGTGAGTGAGTGGTTTTACGCTGCTGTTAGCGATATTTCAGCAATATCACAGCAGGGGACACCAGAAATGTCTTCACACATCGGGGAATCCAACCCAGGTCTTTTGCGTGATGAGCAGACACATTTCAGAGTTTATACTTACTCCTTCACCTGATGGGTGTGTAAGTATGGTTTTACGCTGCTGTTAGCAATATTCCAGCAATATCAAGGCAGGAAATGGGCTTCACACAGACCTTTGGCGTAACAAGCGAACACTTTAACCACTAGGCTGTACCACCAACCTCATACTGTCAGAAAAGTTTCACACAAATATGAAGATGTGACTAACATCATTAGAAGCGCTACTGAATTTAACTTTCAAGATTAAGTCTAACACACATCATCGTGACACGGTACTTCTTAGCTGGATCGCTAAGTACATTCTCACGGTACTTCACCTTGAGAATGGATCCATGGAACTACAAGTACATTACTAATATACTCCTGCTTCAGATCACTCCATACATCACTACCCTCGCGTGAAGTGGCCTTCAGTAACCCATGCTTATTGTAAGAGGCTACTAATAACGGGATCGGATGGTCAGGCTCGCTGACTTGGTTGACACATGTCATCGGTTCACAATTGCGCAGATCGATGCTCATGCTGTTGATCACTGGATTGTCTGGTCCAGACTTGATTATATACAGATCGCTGCCACATAACTGGAATATTGCTGAATGTGGCGTAAAACTAAACTCACTCACTCACTTTGTGGATCGGGACCCTGGGACCTAATGGAAGCGGTGAGGACACGACAAATCTGTGATAGATGAAATAAAACAGTGGCAATGATAATCTGCTCACCTGTTGAGACCGATGAGCAGAATAGGCGGAAGTTTCCAGATGTCGATTTTTTTGACGGCATCTCTCTCAACGCGACATTTTGGGCACTTCCACTTACAGCTGCCCGTCATCATCTCGGGGCTGAGGAACTTGTAGATGCAATCCTGTAGGAAATCAGATTAATTATATTAATTAATTAATTAATTAATTACTTGCTGATTTATCTCATATAGGTCATATTGTGATAAAACAACAAGGCTAATGTTGAACAGTGTGGGAGAAGAGTTCCGAACTGAAGGGCAGGTAACAGACCAAGACCCATTGCATAAGGTGAGTTAGTTGAACTAGTGGTGGTCCGATTAATTGAAATAATCGAAGATTGGTCGCAGTGACTAAACGACCAAGCAATCGATCATGTTTTCTCATAATCAAACACAAATAATTCTAGAACACTTGTTTTCATTAACAGTATTTTCACTAGGTTGGTTTTGTCTGTTACATTTGATAAGCACTACAAGCTCGCTCCAAGTCATGATTGAATTTATCTTAAAGACTCTAAGAAATTTACGCTCCTCCATACTAGTCATCCTTTAAAGATGTGAAATTTTGCCAAAAACCCCAAAGAACTACATGTTTTTTTCCTTATTTTTTGTGCATTTACACATTCATAAATGACGCTTAACCAATTATTTTCGATGATTGATCGGGTTGTAATGAACCAATCATCAATTATGAGATTTTAACCAATTCCCAACACTAAGTTGAACAGGAGTTGAACATGTTGCACAACATGCACCTCAGCTTGTGCCAGAGGTTTTGATGGTCAGTGCTTCATACTCATCCTTACAGAACACCCCATGGAGTCCTGCACTAGGCACTGTACCTCAACCTGTGTCTGTCATTTTTTGTGGGCCAGTGGCTCATACTCTTCCCACAGAGAGCACCTGGACTGCTGTGGGTGGGCTGAAGATGTGGGCGTGCACTTGGCACTGAAGCTCACCTCAACCTGTGTCTGACAGTTTGAAGCTCATACTCACCCTAGAGAACACCTGGACTACTGTGGGTGAGCTGAAGATGTAGACGCACACTAGGAACTGAAGCTCATCTCAACCTGTGTCTGACAGTTTGAAGCTCATACTCACCCTTAGAGAACACCTGGACTACTGTAGGTGAGCTGAAGATGTAGACGCGCACTAGGAACTGAAGCTCACCTCAACCTTGTCTGACAGTTTGAAGCTCATACTCACCTTAGAGAACACCTGGACTACTGTAGGTGAGCTGAAGATGTAGGCGCAGCACTTGGCACTGAAGCTCACCTCAACCTGTGTCTGACACTTTGAAGCTCATACACCCTTAGAGAACACCTGGACTGCTGTGGGTGAGCTGAAGATGTAGACGTACACTTGGCACTGAAGCTCACCTCAACCTGTGTCTGACAGTTTGAAGCTCATACTCACCCTTAGAGAACACCTGGACTGCTGTGGGTGAGCTGAAGATGTAGGCGTGCACTTGGCACTGAAGCTCACCTCAACCTGTGTCTGACATTTTGAAGCTCATACTCACCCTTAGAGAACACCTGGACTGCTGTGGGTGAGCTGAAGATGTAGACGTGCACTTGGCACTGAAGCTCACCTCAACCTGTGTCTGACATTTTGAAGCTCATACTCACCCTTAGAGAACACCTGGACTGCTGTGGGTGAGCTGAAGATGTAGATTGCACTTTGGCACTGAAGCTCACCTCAACCTGTGTCTGACAGTTTGAAGCTCATACACCCTTAGAGAACACCTGGACTACTGTGGGTGAGCTGAAGATGTAGGCGCAGCACTTGGCACTGAAGCTCACCTCAACCTGTGTCTGACATTTTGAAGCTCATACACCCTTAGAGAACACCTGGACTACTGTGGGTGAGCTGAAGATGTAGATTGCACTTGGCACTGAAGCTCACCTCAACCTGTGTCTGACATTTTGAAGCTTATACACCCTTAGAGAACACCTGACTGCTGTAGGTGAGCTGAAGATGTAGATTGCACTTGGCACTGAAGCTCACCTCAACCTGTGTCTGACATTTTGAAGCTCATACACCCTTAGAGAACACCTGGACTGCTGTAGGTGAGCTGAAGATGTAGATTGCACTTGGCACTGAAGCTCACCTCAACCTCTGTCTGACACTTTGAAGCTCATACACCCTTAGAGAGAACACAGGGACTGCTGTAGGTGAGCTGAAGATGTAGGGTGCACTTGGCACTGAAGCTCACCTCAACCTGTGTCTGACACTTTGAAGCTTATACACCCTTAGAGAACACCTGGACTGCTGTAGGTGAGCTGAAGATGTAGATTGCACTTGGCACTGAAGCTCACCTCAACCTGTGTCTGACATTTTGAAGCTCATACACCCTTAGAGAACACCTGGACTACTGTAGGTGAGCTGAAGATGTAGACGTGCACTTGGCACTGAAGCTCACCTCAACCTGTGTCTGACACTTTGAAGCTCATACACCCTTAGAGAACACAGGGACTGCTGTAGGTGAGCTGAAGATGTAGATTGCACTTGGCACTGAAGCTCACCTCAACCTGTGTCTGACACTTTGAAGCTCATACTCACCCTTAGAGAACACCTGGACTGCTGTGGGTGAGCTGAAGATGTAGACGTGCACTTGGCACTGAAGCTCACCTCAACCTGTGTCTGACATTTTGAAGCTCATACTCACCCTTAGAGAACACCTGGACTACTGTGGGTGAGCTGAAGATGTAGACGTGCACTAGGCACTGAAGCTCACCTCAACCTGTGTCTGACATTTTGAAGCTCATAACTCACCTTCAGAGAGCACCTGGACTGCTGTGGAAGGGGCAGGGAGAGGAACATGAAAGCCTGAAACGTCACCGACTTCTTGCTACAGTGTTTACACTGAAGAGTGGACTTCAACTGCCCCTGTAAGAAGTAGAGTAACATGAAATAGTACAGTAACATGCAAACACTGGTCACTGCTGCATTACATAAATGTATCACCGAATACTGTGATAGATCATTACAGTTGGGGAAATAGAGTTATTTCAGGTGTAAAATCTGTAAAGATCTGTGTAAGAATTGTTCCACAGCATCCCCTGCTTGTTGTAAAAGTGACCAATGGAATTGGGTAGCCAGGCTTGTTAAGTGAGTCACAGTATCAAAATTGTGTAGATCATGACATCAATCATTGGATTGTCTGGTCCAGATTTTATTTATGATTATTTACAGACTGCCAGAATATAGCTGGAATATTGCTAAGTGTGGCGTGAAACAAAAAGGAAACAACTATACTGTCTGTTTTCAGTCCTGGCTATACAATTGGTCTGCATACCTTGCATCAGATGGTCCAAGATTCAAATCTCAACAAGTGTTTGCCACTGATGGAATATCTATAACATATTTACTACTTTTATTTTTGGTCACATACAAGATGCTTGAAATGACTGGTGTCTGCAAAAGTACTCAATGTACGCTGTCGACATAATTGAAAACATTGGGTGCAATGTTTATAAGATATCGCGTTAAAATAAGTTTGAAAAGTGGTTAAAGTGTCGTGGTGACCTTGAAGATAAGGTCAAGATCACCCATATCAACTGATGTCTGGGTAATCCCCTAACGTAAGCTGTCACCAAATTTGAAGATATTGGATACAACAGTGCATGAGATATCACGTTAACAACAGTTTGAAAGTGGTCAAAGTGTCGTGGTGACCTTGAAAATAAGGTCAATGTAACCCAAATCGACTGGTGTGTGGGTAATCCCCCCAATGTAGGCTGTCACTAAATTTGAAAACATTAGGTACAACAGTTCATGAAATATTGCGTTAACAAGAATCGGGACGTACGTACAGACGTACGGATGCCGCTGAATACATAGTCCCCTGTTCCTCGTTGCGCCGGGGGACAACAAAGAAGTTGCAATATTCATGTACATATTGATATCGGAAAGCAAGGGTCTTCAAAGAAAAAGGCATTCTAAACCACAAGCACCCCCCAAAGGGCACAGATGGTATTACCTGGAACAGTTCCACAATTATGGACTTGTGCAGGCGTTTGTGGTCACCACCAGGCTATCTCTGCCGCCGGTGGTCCGAGATGGTCATTTTCTTGCTCCGGTATCTTGGGCCGAACCTTCACCTAGTACACACACAATAATCTCTCAGCATAATTTCTTTACAGTGAAGTGGTCAGTTCGGACATGAATTTACTCCAGTTGATAAATTATACTTTTACAGACAATTAAAGCGAGAAATTGGTCTCATACAATCTCTGCCTTCGTGTCTTATTCGGACCTTCACTACTCATTTGGAGTGCTTGTTAATAATCCACATTTCAATCCCTACCTACATCCAGTCCCTCTTTAATGGCGACCGTGGACCTTTAATGGTGAACCCTCATACTCACAGTTTTAAACCCCCATACTCATCACTGCTTTAAACCCCATACTCACTGACCTTACTAAATGGTGAACCCCCATACTCACTGCTTTAAACCCCAATACTCACAGCTTTAAACATAGCTTTAAACCCCATGCCATAGGCACATCTTGTTAAACCCCAAATACTCACAGCTTTAAACCCCATACTCACCCCCATACTCACTGCTTTAAAACCCCCATGCCATAGGCTAAATACCCATCTTGTTAAACCCCCAATACTCACAGCTTTAAACCCCAATACTCACTGCTTTAAACCCCCATGCTTTAAACCCCCATACTCACTGCTTTAAACCCCCATGACATGAATACCCATCTTGTTAAACCCCAATACTCACAGCTTTAAACCCCCATACTCACTGCTTTAAACCCCCATGCCATAGGCTGAAATACCCATCTTGTTAAACCCCCAATACTCACAGCTTTAAACCACCATGATGCCATAGGCCTCACTACTTATCATATAAAACCCTGAATACACACAGCTTTAAACCCCATAAGCCCAGCTACACATTTTTAAACCCTGAATACACACAGCTTTAAACCCCATAAGCCCAGCTACACGCTTTTAAACCCCAATATACACAGCTTTAAACCCCATGTTAACCCCAATACACATTTTTAAACCCCCAATTACAGCCCCCGTGTTGTGGCCCCAATCAAACCTCCTTATGTTCAGCCCACGATATCCACCTTGCTGGTCTAGCTACACAGTGTTCCAACCTGCTACTCACCTCGCTCAGTCCCTCGTGTAGACCATCCAAAAGAGGAAGGTCAGGAACTCCTGTGAGTCAATGTTCTGCTACCTGCTACTCACCTCGCCGTCAGTCCCTCGTAGACCAGCAGGAACTCCTGTGAGTCAATGTTCCAACCTGCTACTCACCTCGTTCAGTCCTCGTGTATCCCTGAGTAGACCAGCCCAAGAGGAAGGTCAGGAACTCCTGTGAGTCAATGTTCCAACCTGCTACTCACCTCGTTCAGCCCCTCATGTAGACCATCCAAGAGGAAGGTGAGTCAGGAACTCCTGTGAGTCAATGTTCCAACCTGCTACTCACCTCGCTCAGTCCCTCGGTAGACCGTTCAGGCCCAAGAGGAAGGTCAGGAACTCCTGTGAGTCCTGCTGCTGATAGCCAGCAAACATGGGGTTGTATTTCCCAACTGTATTCTGTAATATAGGATCGTATCACCTTGTTAGATATGGTCCAAATAAACCCATCTCACTCTTTACAGAAATTCTGCAACAGTATAAACCTGATGGTTACAGTGAGTACCCTGATGAATTGAGTGCATGATATGGTATCTGTGACATAGTGTCTCACTGGGCTGGCACTATGAAACCTTTACTCTGCTCTAGGACAAACAGCCATAAACAAGAAACTAGTTATTTGTCTAGCTTGCACCAGGTGCAAGTCAATTTCTGAGAAATGGATCAACAATAAAACTAACATTATAAGCATAAATAAGTCAGCTCTTCTAAACTTTGAATAATTCAATAGGACATTTCTTTCATTATATATTGCAATAAGAGCAGTGCACCTGGAATTTGGCTTGTGCAACTATGTTTCTATCTGAGGTTGCACCTGGTGCAAGTAGGTTAACCTATGTTAAATCGAGCCCTGACCCTGTCTACTGTTAGTGTCCTACCTTCAGGTCTCTGGGCGTGATACATCTGTTCTGGCCATTCCACAAGGCCTTCAGGACAATAGCATAGTCGTCCACCATCTCACCATGCATGCCCTCCGAGCTATCCCTGTCAAAGTCAAACATGTACTGATGATGCCCGGGAAGATCCGGTTAGAACTGGTCTTCAGCAACCTATGCTTGATGTACCCCATGAAGATCTGGGTTAGTATTGGTCTTCAGCAACCCATGCTTGTCGTAAGACGCGACTAACGGGATCGGGTGGTCAGGCTCGCTCACTTGGTTGACACATGTCATCGTATCCTAATTGTGTAGATTGATGCTCATGATGTTTACTACTGGATTGTCTGGTCCAGACTCGACTATTTACAGACCACTGCCATACTGACTGACTGAGTTTAGTTTTACGCCGCTTTTAGCAATATTCCAGCAATATCACTGCGGGGGACACCAGAAATGGGCTTAACACATTGTGCCCATGTGGGGAATCAACTCGGTCTTCGGGCGTGAAAGCCAACGCTTTAACCACTAGGCTATGGGGAGACCCCCACTGCTATACAGTGAGAATATTGCTGAGTGCGGCGTAAAACTAAATTCACTCACTCACTCACTCACACAGTAGATGTTGTGTACTCATGTTACAAAAACAACCAGTTTCTTATGGGGAGACAAGCATGGGTTGCAGAAAATCAGAAAACTCAGTTCTTCACATGGAAAGTTTGTTTGTTGTTTAACAAAACAATCGGCATTGTTTTGGCTATATGATAGCGGTTCACTGGGAATGACAAGCATCGGTTGGTGAAGACCAATTTTATCCCAATTGATCTTCATAGGGCTAGCCAGTCAGCTGCTGAAGACGTCTTCCACCCGTATCATCATGGTGGGAGACAACTCTAGACTACTAATTTTCAGACATCCATTTTTTGTGGAAGCCATGGTGGTCAAGCAGGTTAGATTGTTGACTTAACGTGCTGGCGATTTGGTGCCTTAATCTGAGAGTGTGGGTTTGAATTCCAGAGGGGACTCAACACACAGAAATACTGAGTCTGAACTTAACGGAGAAAGTGTAATCACAAATAAAACATATTTAACATCTGACCTTTTTCAAAACGGTTTGTGTATTCATCAAACCATGAGAAAAACATTGATTCATGTATTAAGAAAGATTTATCAAAATTGAAAATTTTAATATAAATTGTATATTTATATACTTCTCCTATCTCATGACTTCAAAGGGAGATTCTAGTTTATTATCGTTTTACCTGTTGATGTCATCCAAGTACAAGTCGTTAAGGAAGTAGGCTACGAGTGGAGTACAGTTATTTAGGCACTGGATGGTGGAGTTCATGTAACACGTGTTGCCAAGGTTACGCAGACCAGTCAACGCAGCACCCTGTCAATCACAAGAACAATACATATATTGGCATAATCTGGAAACTGAAGATGAACAAAAATAAATCATCAATAACTTTTTACAAACACAGGATTTATCAAGAACTCAAAGTTTGGTGCCAACATCAATCAAGCTGGGAAATGGTTTACTTGTTCTAAATAGGGTCGTGTATGGGTAGCCTGGCTGGCTTACTCACAGGAGGAAGCTCGAACCTAAAACACGGACACATCTACTGAGCTGACATTTTGGAGAACACGGATATAATGAAATTATTTCAGTAATATTCATACGCGTATTAATCTTTGCTTCATAATTTGCTTCTATTGTTTCTGAGTAGTTTAAGATGTCATGACATCACAAATGCACATGTTGCAAATAATGGGATTCAACACCATGATCACTGGATTCTGTCACACCAAAGGGACACTACTCTGCAGTGAATTTTAGTGCCTCAGATTACTCAACCAGCTGTGCCTCTTCATCAAGACCATGTTTGATTGAGTCTGAAGCATCCTTTTCTCAAATAGTCACATAATCTTGACATCTTCACTTCAGCTCTACCAAACGTTTTTACCTCTGTGATGGCTTGCTGGCACGGTCAAAGTTGGGCGTATGAAGTGGCTTGTCTCCTTCCTCCGCCATCTGTTTCATGATGTCAGGAGACGCAGAAAGATCGAAGTTAGTTCTTTTTCCCCACAGAGGTTACTCCTGTCATATCTTCCTACGTAACCTCTGTTCTAATAATGCCCTTTCATGGTGTGAGCTGCTCAAGACTCGCGTGGATTGAGGCAATCAGATTTAGTTGTGCAATCAGCTGACGCTTGTTTCAAAAGTGATCATTCGCAGCGCCCTCGTAATTTCCATATGCTTCGAGAAAACTAAACTTTTCCCCGCGCTGATGCGCAAACGCTTCTTCTCGAGACAGAACTCAGTCATGTTATGGCGGATCAGTGGCGCCTCCATCGCCCTCGCTGACAACGGACAAGCTAGCCATTAAACGCCTTGTGTGTAACATCAACACAAGTCCCCGCAGATGGGGATATTTGTGGCCTCACATTTGCTTGTGTTAGTCAAGTTGAATCTAAGTCGATGTAACACGGTTCTGATTGATAGAAAGAAGGGAGATAATTGTGGTATGATCTTTTGCCGCTAGGGATTTTACAAGAACCGGGAAATATGGTCAGATAGAACAGAGGTTCAGAGGAAGATATGACAAGTAACCTCTGTGGGAAGAGAATGGCTTACAATGCAACAGGACTGGGTCACCTGGGCCCCTTTGCTGTGAGTGAGTTGAGAGTGACCACGCATCTGTAGTAGAAGCTGGTTGAATCTTGACTGGCTGCCCCACTGTGTTGTAGTAAGGTTGTGGTTGATGTAGAAGTATCTGTTGGTGCTTTTGTCAAGCCAGCTTCTCCCAACCAACAGGCAGGTTGTTGGACGGACCTGTTTCCACTGTGGCTTCGGCCTCTGCAACAGTCACAACATGACAACAGCCATATGTTATAAATGCACTGTTGCAAATAATGGGATTCAACACCAAGATCACTGGATTCTGGCACACCAAAGGGAAACTACTCTGCAATGAATGTTAGTGCCTCAGATTACTCAACCAGCTGTGCCTGTTCGTCAAGACCATGTTTGAGTCTGAAGTATCCTTTCCTCAATTCCCCTCTCTAAATGGTTTTGTGTATTCATGACAATTATCACAAGTGTGTAAGTGGGTAACAGCAGTTCTGAATTTTGTCTGATGTTTCTCGGAGTACTCTTAGGAGTACGAGAGTTGGGTTTTACGCAGCTTTCAGCAATATTCCAGCAATATCATGTCAGGGGACACCAGAAATGGGCTTCACACATTGTACCCATGTGGGGAATCGAACCCCTGGGTTTCGGCGTGACGAGCGAACGCTTTAAACACCAGGCTACCCCACCTCTCTGAGGAGGCAAATTGGGACAAAGTGTTCACATTTAAGAAAGAAATGATACTTTATGGATGAAAACTTTTTTTATATTATGATATATTATTACAGGTTCTTATATGTCGCATCATAATATAGAAGTTGTCATCCATAATGTTTCATAGCTTTCTTATTATTCATCAACTTCTAGAATGCCATTCAAATAGATCAGTGTTGAAATTGTTATTCTTAAAAATATGCTGATTTTGGCAGACATTTCTTTTATTTTTGCTCATTAGTAAATGATCTAACAATATTTAGTAAATAATCTAACAATATTTAGTAAATAATCTAACAATATTTAGTAAATAATCTAACAATATTTAGTAAATAATCTAACAATATTTAGTAAATGATAACTGATCTCTATGATCTGCATATTTTTACCATTGACTTTCTTTATTTTCTCCTCTGCTAACCGGCGAGCCTCTTCAGCCCGAGCCTTCTCGGCAGCCATCTTCTGATCCCTCTCAGCCTTGGCTCTCTCGGCCTCCTCATGTTTCAGCCGCTCAGCTAACTCCTCGTCAGCCTTCATCTTCTCCTCACGTTCACGCTGCTCTTTCAACTTCTGTAAACGAGGTAAATGTTTACCTTGCATCACAGTGTATAGCCCCAAAAATCTTGAGGGTGCATGCACTGCAGGTGTGTGCCCGAAATCTGCAAGGTCTCTTGGGGGGCGGCTGGGGTTCCCCCCAAAAATTTGGAAATTTAGACGTCACTTCTTTGCATATCAGAGCATCACTGTCATCATGCCCAAGTCAAATTAGCAAAGAGAAACTTTATTTTATTTTGCTGTTCCTTTGGGAAAATACGTTTCTCAGTTAGTTGTTCCCAGAACACAAAACACGCAGGTAGAAAATATTGTACATGAAATGCAGATTTATTTGCGTGAAACACGCAGGTTTTGCATTAACACGAACACTGCATCAGCTTTACTTAAGCCATATCTTAATAATTCATTGTCATAATACCAGTCAACATCGGACAGTAAACCTGTAAGGTGAAAGTCTAGTATAAAACAAATCAAAACCAAATTAAAACAAGCAATAAGTCAGTAGTGAGTATGGTTTTATGGTGCTTTTAGAATACTTCAGTAATATCACTAGAGGTTGCACCAATAATTGGCTTCACACATAGAAACCATGTTGGGAGCTGAACCCAGGAACCCAAGTCTTTGGTGTGACAAGGTTGAAAAATTTTCCCATAAATTGTATATTTATATAGTTATTATATTGTTATTGATTCACTTCTCGATATTCGGTGAATCGAACCGTAGTCCCTTCATGAATTCAATTGTTATTCGTGGTCACCAGAACCCAATTTTCATGAATATTTACAATTTTTAAGGGAGTGTGTTTTACTTGAACCCTTATGTCCTTTTTCAAAATGAGATATGCAAGAATGCATTATGTACTATCCTTGTAGTAGCGCAAGTCATGTTAGTTTGCCAAGGGTGGACATGTTACTGTCAACTATAACTATTACATACAAAATTTGAGTGTCATGAGATGACTGGTTATTGCTGTGACAAATTAACACTGTCAACATGGGCATTCAATATTGTGCATCAATCACTTAACTACAATATTGTATTCGGGTGAATAATTATTCGTGATTCGCTACTCCAATATTCGCGGATAATGTGATCATATTCGCAACATAGTGTATTCATTACAGCCCTAATATGTTGAGGACCGAGAAAGAGACGACGGAGATACTTTCGCCAAGTAGGAGTCTGAGGTCACTTAATAAATCGCGAGGCGGGCCTACTTGCCAAACTCAAGGCCTTTGCTTGTCAAAAGGTGCGCGCCGAAAACCACATTAATTCGACCCACCACTCCTAGAGTTTTGTGCTGTGTAAGCTAAGGGGTTATCAGAAACAACCCATCACAAGTTTGGAGTTAGCATATCGGAGTTGGTGCTTTCTCCTGGCCTCCTTGTGTTATGCGCGACCTCACGGTTGTAGAGTTGACAGGGTAAATCTGGCGCCCACCAGCCAACGGCAGGAATAATGCATGCACCGTGAGATAGGATAAGTTTAAAAATTTGAAAATTTTGCTATAAATTGTATATTTATATACTTATCCTATCTCATCGCGATGGATACTTTTCACCACCTGCCCCACATCACAGATTACTGGACTCTCTGGACTTCTAAGATCGAAAATGACAGGCACAGAACATCACGTGATCATCTGAGTGGATCGGCACACTTATTGAGATGATTGACAGGTCTGCTGTTGGAGTGGGGGCAGAGGTCAGATGGTCAGAGGCCTGAAGTTTTCATTCAACTTAGCCTACAGCACGTTTCCACACATGGTCGTAGAAGAAGAACAACAGAGGTGCATACCGCGAGATACGATAAGTTTCCAAAATAAAACACTTTAGCCACTCAGCTACACCATTACCCACATTATTCAGTAGATTAGGAAGTATAATCAACACCAGGCTACAGAATGCCATTTTTGATGGCACCATTTTAGGGTGCCATTTTATGAAACAACCAAAGCCGCCACGATTGTCGTATGGGGAGTTAAGATCACATTGTACATCAGCAGCCAGGGACACAATGCACTGAATAGCCTCTGACAGAGTGCCATTGTATGAAACCACAAAGCTTTACTACCGTCGTAGCCAGTATTAAAAGCATGGGAGTTAACATCACATTGTACAACAGCAGCCAGTTACGCTACAAACCAAAGCGCCACGACCGTCGTGAAGTCAATGTAGTATGGGAGTTAACATCACATTGTACAAAGGCAGCCAGTTATGAAACAACCAAAGCGCCACGACTGTCGTGAGTCAAAGTAAGTATGGGAGTTAAGATCACATTGTACAACGGCAGCCAGTTATGAAACAACCAAAGCCGCCACATATCGTCATAAGTCAATGTAAGTATGGGAGTTAACATCACATTGTACAACGGCAGCCAGTTATGAAACAACCAAAGCTGCCATTTATCGTCGAAGTCAAAGTAAGTATGGGAGTTAACATCACATTGTACAACGGCAGCCAGTTATGAAACAACCAAAGCGCTCACGACCGTCGTAAGTCAATGTAAGTATGGGAGTTAACATCACATTGTACAAAGGCAGCCAGTTATGAAACAACCAAACGCTACGACTGTCGTAAGTCAATGTAAGTATGGGAGTTAACATCACATTGTACAACGGCAGCCAGTTATGAAACAACCAAAGCGCTACGACTGTCGTAAGTCAATGTAAGTATGGGAGTTAACATCACATTGTACAAAGGCAGCCAGTTATGAAACAACCAAAGCACTACGACTGTCATAATGCCAGTGGTATGGAGTTAACATCACATTGTACAAACGGCAGCCAGTTATGAAACAACCAAAGCGCCATTAATTGTCGTAAGCCAGTATTAAAGCATGGGAGTTAACATCACATTGTACAACGGCAGCCAGTTACGAAACAACCAAAGTGCTACGACTGTCATAAGCCAGTATTAAAGTATGGGAGTTAAGATCACATTGTACAACAGCAGCCAGTTATGAAACAACCAAAGCGCTACGACTGTCGTAAGTCAATGTAAGTATGGGAGTTAACATCACATTGTACAAACGGCAGCCAGTTATGAAACAACCAAAGCCGCCACGACCGTCGTAAGTCAAAGTAAGCATGGGAGTTAACATCACATTGTACAACGGCAGCCAGTTATGAAACAACCAAAGCGCCACGACTGTCGTAAGTCAATGTAAAGTGCTGAGTTAACATCACATTGTACAACGGCAGCCAGTTATGAAACAACCAAAGCGCTTACGACCGTCGTAAGTCAATGTAAGTATGGGAGTTAACATCACATTGTACAAAGGCAGCCAATTATGAAACAACCAAAAGCACTCGACGGTCATAAGCCAGTAAGTATGGGGAGTTAACATCACATTGTACAACGGCAGCCAGTTACCTACAAACAACCAAAAGCCACGACTGTCTTAAGCCAGTATTAAAGTATGGGAGTTAACATCACATTGTACAAAGGCAGCCAGTTATGAAAACAACCAAAGCGCTACGACCGTCGTAAGTCAAAGCGGTATGGGAGTTAACATCACATTGTACAACGGCAGCCAGTTATGAAACAACCAAAGCGCCACGACTGTCGTGTAAGTCAATGTAAATGGGGGGAGTTAACATCACATTGTACAACGGCAGCCAGTTATGAAACAAACCAAAGCGCCACGGCTACCGTCGTAAGTCAAATGTAAGTATGGGGAGTTAACATCACATTGTACAAAGGCAGCCAGTTATGATGAAACAACCAAAGCACTACGACTGTCATAAGCCAGTGTAAGTATGGGAGTTAACATCACATTGTACAACGGCAGCCAGTTACGAAACAACCAAAGCGCTACGACTGTCTTAAGCCAGTATTAAAGTATGGGAGTTAACATCACATTGTACAACGGCAGCCAGTTATGAAAAACAACCAAAGCGCCGGCGTATACTGTCGTAAGTCACTGTTAAAGTATGGGAGTTAAGATCACATTGTACAACAGCAGCCAGTTACAAAACAACCAAAGCGCTACGACTGTCGTAAGTCAGTTTAAGTATGGGAGTTAACATCACATTGTACAACGGCAGCCAGTTATGAAACAACCAAAGCACCACTTACTGTCGAAAAGTCAGTATTAAAGTATGGGAGTTAAGATCACATTGTACAACGGCAGCCAGTTATGAAACAACCAAAGCACTACTACTGTCGTAAGTCAGTGTAAGTATGGGAGTTAACATCACATTGTACAACGGCAGCCAGTTATGAAACAACCAAAGCGCTACGACTGTCGAAAGTCAGTATTAAAGTATGGGAGTTAAGATCACATTGTACAACGGCAGCCAGTTATGAAAAACCAAAGCACTACTACTGGTCGTAAGTCAGTGTAAGTATGGGAGTTAAGATCACATTGTACAACAGCAGCCAATTATGAAACAACCAAAGCGCTACGACTGTCGTAAGTCAGTATTAAAGTATGGGAGTTAACATCACATTGTACAACGGCAACCAGTTCTGAAACAACTAAAGCTCTACAACTGTCGTAAGTCAGTATTAAAGTATGCAAGTTATGATCACCGTAGCACCAAGATCACAGCCAGGGACAAGCACTGAATAACCTTTGACATGTCAACATACCTTCTCTTGCTCTTGCTTTTCTTTTTTAAGTTGTTGTATTTTGATTTCTTCTCTCTTCTTTCTCTCCTCTTCTTTCTTCTCTCTCTCTGTGCCTCCTGTCTCTCCTCCTCGGCTCTCTTGGCAGCGGCGGCAGCAGCTTCCTGTCTGCGCTGCTCCTCCTCCTGCCGGGCAGCTTCAGCAGCCTCACGGAGGATGTTGTCCTTCATCTTCACAAACAAGAGTGAGTGAGTGATCGAGTGAGTGAATGATGAATGGAGGGACTGAGGAAGGATGAAAGGTCAGTGAGTGAGTGAGTTGAGAGTGTGAAGAGGAAAGAGGGTGGGTGAGTGTGTGAAGGATGGAGTGAGTGAGTGAGTGAGTTGGGTTTTACGCCGCTTTTAGCAATATTCCAGTAATATCACAGTGGGGGACACCATAAATGGGCTTCACACATTGTGCCCATGTGGGGATTCGAACCCGGGACGTCAGCGTGACAAGCCGACGCTTTAACCATTAGGCTACCCCAATGCCCCTGTGAAGGATGGAAGGAATAAGGAAGATGAAAGGTGAGTGAGTGAGTGAGTGAACGTAGGAAAGAGGAAAGGTGGTAGGGTGAGTGCGTGAAAGGTGGATGGAATAGGGGGAATGAAAGGTCAGTGAGTGAGTGAGCATCTGCCTCTAACCACCACTAAACAAGGGCCATAACTCTGTAAAGAATCGCAACACAGTTTCTGTTTTCGAAATACATCAAGGCATTTGTGTCCTGAAAATGCTTACCACATTTGGTTTCCCTATCTGTAACGTTTTTTGAGAAAATCTGCCCCATTGGGGATACCGTGCACGAATCAAGAACACATGACAAGGGCCATAACTCTGTAACAAATTGTAACCTGGTTTCCGTTTTTGAACTCCATCAAGGCAGTCATGTCATGAAAACACATATCAAATTTGGTTTCCCTATCTATAAGAGTTTTTTGATCTGTCCCCATGATGTCTGACGGACACACAGACGGAGCTCAAACCAATATCCCCCTCCCACTTTGTGGTGCGGGATAATAAAACCCTGGTGTTAGTTACTTAACCACACCCATAAACAATACGTAAACATTCACTATCAACACCAAACTAAGGGAGAAAACTGAACAAGGGAGGGAACTGCTGAATGAACTATGCCAATGATAAGAAGGTAGTAAGCCAGAAAGCCAATCTTAACTTCGTATCTACAGCACTAAGTTATGACCAGGGTTACACCTACCTCCAGATCTTGGGCTCGCTTGTCATCTTCCTTCTTGCGTCGTTCTCGTCGGAGTTTCTCAACATCCTCCTGGCGACGTCTCTTGTCTTCTTCCAGTTTCTGCATCTGCTCCAGTCAGCCAATCTGCAAAAACATCACAGAGGAAACAGTCCAACATCTCTCACATTTTCTTCATCTAAGATATCTATGTTGTCTGTTCAACAGGTCTGTTAACAACAGAAAACATAAAAAATAGAAAGACATGTAGTCTAATGACTTTAATGTCTCAGGACTACACCATATTTTTCCATCTTATTTTATGTTGTATTTTGTCAAGCCCACCCCCATATATGTATCAATGTCTTGTGACCCCTCCATCTATAATTATTGAGGTTTCCCACTTGATGCACCATTATTATTTTTTTTTGGCTTCCCACATGTAGCAATTTTCCATGGCTCCCCACCAAAAATTACTCATCACTATGTAGGGTTCAAATACATCTGTTATGAGAGTGTGTTTTTTATAATTTGTATTATCATTGATCAGGTTATTATGGGTCACAATGTTTTGAGTGTGGGTTTTGTCTCGCATTTCACATCATATATGTTCAATGGCAAAAGTATTTTTAGTGGCACGCCTTTTTGATAGCGCTTCAGAGTTGTCTCCCTTGGCAATTTTGTCTATTTACGGCTTTCATCATGCCCTGTGTTCCACATGATTCCATATCATTCCCGAGAGGATAATGATAAAGCCTAGCTTTGCTAGAATGCTCGAGAACTGTGTAAGTGCTATATAAAGGCTGGTTGTTGCGTTGTCCGACAGACTTTTCCTATGACTGGATTTATGTACATCAGTCTGCCATCGTCAACATCATCAAGACTGAACGTTCTTGCCTATTCGTCTACTGTCATTGTAAACAACCTTCAATCAGTATATTTGCTCTCACTGTAAATGTCAAGACTCTAGTGAGTTGATATTTTATACTTGTGACCCAATATTTTAGATTTGTTACTCAAATGCATTGTACTAGAAATCTGTATTGTCATTCATTGTAGCTTGCTCATTGTTTGTTCAATATATCATTGAATATTTTAGACTTGTTTGTGTTCTATTTTGCTGGTTCAAAGGGGACTCTTAAACCTTTTGTCACAGCAATTTTTTAACCGTAATACATCATTTATTCAATTTTATATAATAGAACTGTGTAATATAAAATACTGTCAGTGTCGGGTCAGTGGGTATCGCATGGATGTACCTGACCCTTCTACCAGAGCTCACCGCCACAAGTAAAGCCGTCTTCCACATCAACAAGTTAAGTGAGAGAGACGATATACTTGAAAAGTCAGGGCCAGACACGAAGCGCTGTACGAGAGGGTGCTGCCCCGGCAGAGCACAATCAAATTGGGTGTGAAACGTGGAAATAGCCATGGAGTACCCAGGAATGGTGGAGGCCATAAGGCTCTCAACCAAAACGGGGTTATAGTAACTCCAATATCCGAAATAAATCCGCAGAATCTGCACACCAGCGCGCCCCACCTATCAACATACTGAATGGATGTCAGAAGCCTTGAAACCAGAATTGTGTCTGCACCTGCTGCAGGAATTCCGCGTGTCTGGAGATTAGACCCGACAGAGACCCACCCACCCAGGTGTGGCGTCCCATTCAGAGTGAGAATGTCTGGCCTTAAAGGTAATTCGAAACCCTGCATGCAGGATCGAACACCAACCTGACTGCTGTCAATTCCAGCACACTGATGTGCAGGTAGTGACTTCGTTGTCAAGAGACCGCAGGTCGCCCAGAACATCGCCCCAACCCGGGAGGGATGTATCTGTCTGGACTGAGAGCGACGGCATCTCCAGGGGAGCCCCTTGGAGAGACGCCCGATGTCTGCCCACCACTGCAAATGAGGAATCAACCACTCTGGCGTCTCGAGAAAGTTCTCGTAGCTCCATGAGTGGGACCCCAGCTGCAAAAGCTTGCTGCATGGGTCTCATCCTCAAACTCGCATCACCCCTAAGAAAGACCGGATTCTGCTCCGAGGCGAGGTCCGACTTCTTAAAATTGACAATTCAGCCAAGTTTCATAAGAGTGACCAACACTGATCGCTAGGTTTCTAGACTCAACTGTTATTCTAGAACCCTGATGAGCCAGTCGCCTAGTTATGGGTGACAACACCAGCACTGATATCTGGCTATCTGAGCTTGAATAAACCCCAATTTGGTGAACACCATTGGCGCCGTAAAGAAGTCTAAGGGGAGCACACAAAACTGGTAGCACGTCCTGCCAAAGAAGAACTGAAGGTAATTCTTGAAATCGGGGTGCATTGGAACAAGGAGGTATGCGACCTTGAGGTCGATTGACGTCCGCCAATCCCCTGTCTCGAGGGATGAGATCACTGAGCGCGGTGTCTCCATCCTAAAGGACAGTACCTCTATTAACTTGTTCAGCTCTCAGACGAGAAAGGATCTGAATATTCCGTTCTTTATGGTAACAAGGAAATAAGTGGAGTCGAACCCCACATTTACCTGACCATTTGAAACCACCTGGATGGTTGCCATGGCCAGCAGAGACTGGATCTGGGCACGGAGTATTTCCGTCGTCTCGCGGGAAGCTGACACTGGTGCGTGTCGCACTCACACCGGGATTTGCGGCAGAATACAGTAAACCCCTGAAGCCGGCAACATAACATTTGCCAGTGCCGAACAGACTTCACCTGAGGATTACAATGAGAATCCCAGAGTTGCCGATGAAGAATCACCGGCGATCTTTCCCCTTTCCACTAGCTCCGCAGAGCAATGAACCAAGTGGAGCATACAGCATAGAGCTGTTAAAGGGAAAGGATGGCAGACTGACGATAAACCCAAACTCCGAGGCACATGAGAATGGCCTGATAAATCAGGGTACCCCAAGCACTCAGACAGACCTCGGAGCGTCGAGGTGACTGGCATATCCGGTACACTTGATAGCCTCTTGGTCAAGCTGAACTACCGGCGCCGGGGATCTGCGCCCTACCGGTTTCCCAAGCCCAGGTCAGTGCTAGTCACGGGGTTCAGAGCATTCGTGGAGCCGAAGCATGGCGGTTGATTCGAACCCGGTTGAAGCAGATGTAGGAGTAGCCTGATAAATGAGGGCGGTACTTCAACCACAAAGCGCACACAAGCATACACAGTCATACACTGCCTATAGGCTATGTAAACACCTGACAATGCAGGGATCCCCTGGTGTACACATGGGTAGACCTCGGAGGGTCAAGGTGATCGGTAGCTCTGTCACACTCAACAGCCGCTTGGCCAGGTCGTCGATAGACCTCAGGCCGAGACCTGATCTGTACCGGGGCCGGGGATCTGTGCCGTACCGGGGCCGAAGCAGATTAGTGAAAAAACATAAAATCTGCGTGTTACTAGCGAACTGTGCGGCAGCACAGCATAAAACACACAACCTTGGTCAGAAAAAATGCTATAATATTTAAATGTTATACATACAATGGAGTAAAATTGAGAGTGATATGAAACAAACACATCATCAAATTACTCACAACGACTTCTGTAAATTCGCTGTAATAAACGAGAATTAAGGCAAGCCTATCATATAATATGCAAACATAATATCACAACTACAGGCTAAAAAGCTAACATGTAGAGAGGAAACCACAACCGCGTGGTCCGCCATTTTGCCTGCCACATGGCTGGAAAACAGAGACCCACGGCACAAAGTTACAACAAATGATGAATGAAAATATCAATATGTGAAGTCCATCTAACTCCCGTGCGTAAAGAGAGGAACCATACATACAGTTTGAGAATCTTTATCACTCATCGTCGAGTATAGGAAGAGATAATACTCTAAGGACACCACACACGTCTGTTCTGAGAACGACAGCATGAAAAGTGAGGTACAAGGTAAACAGACAGAGTTACCTGCTCTTGGCTGTAGGGGGCCCTGTTGGGTCCCGTAGGGGTGGTCTCACAAGACAAAAACGAGTTTTTTGTTTTGTAAATACTTTTATTAAAATATTGTTACAACTGTCGTAGGATTTAAAATGCACATTTAAATGCTTATATGTACCCCAAGGAGGACTTCTTCTGAAAAAGAATTGGAAACTATTTCGCACACTGATCACAGCACCAGAGCCTGCGTACAAAATTTGTTTTGGCTTACCTCTTCCTCTCTTCCTCCTCTTTTTGTATGTTCTCTCCATCCTGCTTGATCTGTTCATTCTTCATCTCTTCCTGCAGGTTCCTTTTCAGCCGCATCAGCTCCACAACATCCTTCTCCTCTTTCCTCCGCAGTTTCTCCAACTGCCGCAACTTCTCCTCCTCTTCCTCCAACTTCGCTGTCCGTGCCTTGTGCTCGGCCGCCATCCGTTTCCGCTCAGACTTGAAGTCATGTAGTTCTTCCTCCTTCTTCTTCTTTATCTCTGTCAACTCCACAAGTTCCTGATCAACATCGCTGTTCTCTATCTTAGGTTTCCGTCCGCTGGCGCCACACCAGAATCGGTCCTTGAGTTACTTCGCACAATGTTCTTAGCAACCATTTGCCCAACACTGGGATAGAGCGAATTTGAAATGATCTTAAAACCATCAAGTTTATCACCCTGTGGTTCTGTGTTTGTGTTTTTGAGATTGTTTGCTACTTTGGGTTCGGAGGTCTTGTTGTTTAGTGGGGCAGCATTGACAGATCTTGTGACTGGTTTGGGTTTAAGTGAGCGATCTACGGAAGGAAGTAAAGGCTGTGACATCCCATTGGGAGCTTGAGTTGGGATAGAGGCTCCTGATTGGTTGATAAGTGGCTGTTTATCATTGGAGGGTTCATCAAAATCAGGGTAATCAAAATCCACTGAAAAATAAACCATTTGATAATACTGATAATGATGGCATTGAGATATTATACTAGCCGAATTTTCTTTTTTGTAAAGATCATACATTACAATTTCTGTCACTGTCTTTTACTTCAAATTTGTGATAAATTTGAAATATGAAAAACTGTTCATTCAATTTTTACTTCTCATCTGCAAAACTTAGTTGTCTTCGGCTCGAGGACAAGCGTGAATTTTGAAGGCTATAAAGGAGAGCAACCATGGCAACTGGCTAGCTATTCTCGAAACGTTCGTAGCCCAACGAACTTGTTAGGCCCATTCTTAACACATTGGCTACAATCAAAGTTAAGAATTCTTAGGGCTACGAACATATCGAGAATAAGGGCCATGGGCCTCCTTTCACAAAGCACTAGGTGATCATAAGTCACTAAGGTAACCTTAGTGCAATGTTAAAGAATAGGAGTTAAGGTTAACCTTTGTAAAGGTTGCTTCGTGAAAGGAGCCCCTGGTGTCTTAAGCTTTCAGAAAAGTGGGCTAGCATGACTTGTCTCCTCTTGATGGGGAATGATTATCTCTTCTGTCTTAAGGTCAGTGAGTTTACGCATTCGAATTTCAAACTATGACACACACAAATTACTGTTCATCTATTAAGTGTTATTGCACAAATCCACCTCAGTGCTGAGACTGTCATAAGTCCACGTTAGGTATGTAAGTAACGATCACTTTGGCACAACGATTGTTGTAAGTCCATGTAAGTTTGAGAGTTACGATCACCTTAGCGGTACGACTGTCATAAATCCATGTTAAGGTTTAGGAGTTACAATCACCTTAGCGCTGCAGCTGTCGTAAATTGGTGTTTCGGTATGGGAGTTACGATCACTTTGGCATTACAACTGTCTCAAGTCCATGTTAGTTTGGGAGTTACGATCACTTTAGCGCTACAACTGTCATAAATCCATGTTAAGGTATGGGAGTTACAATCACCTTAGCACTACGACTGTCTTAAATTTAGGTTACGGTATGGGAGTTACGATCACTTTGGCATTACGACTGTTGTAAATCCATGTTAAGGTGTGGGATATATGATCACTGTAGCACTGTACGACTGTCATAATCCTGTTAAGGTATGGGAAACAATGTCACCCTAGCGCTAAGACTGTCGTAACTCTATGTTGCGGTATGGGAGTTACGATCACTTTGGCACTACGACTGTTGTAAATCCATGTTAAGGTGTGGGAGTTACAATCACCTTAGCACTAGGACTGTCTTAAGTCCATGTTAAAGTACGGGGATAACGACACCTTAGCGCTAAGATTGCTTTGTACAACGGCAGCCTGACACGTACATGCTGATGATGTGATGAAGTCCTCGGGGCGAGCGGGACACAGGATGTGGGAGTTGGTGGTAACGGTGGGGTAGTACAGCAGCCACTGCTCATAGCCCCCCTCCAACACGAGGGGCTCGCTCTTCAGGATCACTGTGGCGTCGTACTGCAGACAGAACACTTACATGTACTACACAGGTGATACGAGCAGTATAACCTTCACAAATATAACATCTTTTTGAAGGCGTAAGAGAGAGTTGTTATTTCTCTGTTAACAGGGGCAGTGGGTTAGCCTAGTGGTTAAAGCGTTTGCTCATTATGCCGAAGGCCCAAGGTTTGATTCCCCACATGGGTACAATGTGTGAAGCCCATTTCTGGTGTCCCCCCACTGTGATATTGCTAGAATATTGCTAAAAGAGGTGTAAAACCATACTCACTCACTCTCTGTTAACTAATACTACATGTAGTAAAATTTCACATGGTACATATGAAGAACTGTATTGGCTTTTCCCGTTACAATTCGGTAAATCTAACCATTACCATAACCGTTATTTTAAGGTGGACCCTTACAGCACTGCTATTAGGCTATAAGCAGCAATGTAGGCGATGTATTGCATTTTTTATTTCTAGATCTGATGATCTTGTCATTAAAGTTTGGTTAGGTTTGTTGTACACTTAGCAATATTCCAGCTATATGGTAGCGGTCTGTACATGATCGAGTCTGGACCAGACAATCCAGTGATCAACAGCATGAGCATCGATCTAAGCAATTGGGATACGATGACATTGTCATTAAGGTCTGTCTAGATGTGCTCCCACCTACCTTGAATAAGGCATCCTTTAGTGTTCTCAGAGTTGATCCAATCTTGACCTCTTGTGACGTAGACCGCCAGTCTAATAGAATAACATGATCGACCTGACCGCGTTGTTTCCATAGCGACCTGGATGCTTCCGGCAATGCATTACTGATGTAGTTGACGGTGGTTCTGTCGACAGATGAGAGAATCAAGTTTAACGCTGTATATCAGGTGAATGTTCATCAGGTGCCTTTCAAGAACTTCACAATCTAAGCATCAAGAACAGGTCCAGAATTATAACCCTCAAACGATATCAGACAATGAGAGCTAACATCACTGGAGTTTTACTTGTCCTCAGGGGTGGTGAGGTAGCCTATTGGTGAAAGTGTCAGCTCGTCACACCGAAGACTTGGGTTCGATTCCTCACATGAGTACAAAGTGTGAAGACCATTGCTGTGATATTGCTGGAATATTGCTGAAAGCGGAGTAAAACCATGGTACTCACTACTAACTGTCCTCAGCACAAATTAGTCTCCGGACTCGTGTGAATTTGAAAGCTGCAGTCAATAGCTACAATATCTACATTAAAGACCACCTACCCAGGTTGTAGTATGCTGGCAGGAACATTGACACAGGACTTGTGGCTGATGTGGGAGTCGGCGTAGTCCTCCTCCGGACGGACGTCCATCAGTATGAGCTGAGTTTCCCGGTCGTTGAGCAGTGTAAACAGCTCCATCGGTGAGATGCTGCCTGGAGCCGTCACTGGTGGCACTGCAGTCCCAGACAAAACATCATTATGTCAGGCATTTACAGGACTCGAATTCCTGCATCCTATACCCATAAAAATTGACAATGGACGCAACAAACTTTATTTGCATCCAGAGGGACTCAGAAAAAGTCAAAATACCTTTTGTAAAAGTTCCAATCAAGTAACAATAAGTTATAACTGAGTTTGCTACCAGCTGGGTTATGGTATCATTTGCAATTTAATTACTGTAACAATGTGATGATCATGATACATAATACGATAACAGTATTAATAATAATATTTAAGTGTGTGGGACCCCCATTTTGTAGTCCAGGACCCCTGAAAATTAAGAGTATGAGTGCCAGGGACCCTCAAATACAGGACTCAAGGTAAATCCCTGTTATGCCATCCTACATTAACATGGGACAGGGGCGGATACAGCTTTTTGACAAAGGGTATGTGCCAGGGTATGAAACACCAACAATTTTCAGCCAGATCACAAGGCTGATTAGATGTAAAACTTGCCAGCCCCGACCAAAACTTACCTGCCCACAAAAAATACTAATTTACTTAATTTACTCTAATTTTACGAGTGAATTAATAATGATTTATCATCCTGAAATATCATGAATATCTTTTTATACCTGTCTAAATTTTAACCCGACCGTCAGGCAGGTGAATTCGAGAATCTAGCAGTCAATGTTGAAAATAACCCATCCCGGGCGGTTGGGCAGGCGGGTATTTCGAACACTGCTGTGTGCACACTCTAGAGAAAGGGAGGGTGCACACTTCATTTTCACCCATTTTTTAATGATCATAAACTTTCAGGACAAAAGGGGCAGAGGGGGCACCCCTGCATCCCTCTGGACCTGACTATGGATGGATGTTCCGGCTTGCTGATTTGGTTGACACGTCATCATATACTAGGGCTGGATACAGCTTTTTGAGAAAGGACGGGTGCTCAGTTCAGAATGGGGGGTGGTTTGGTGGTGTGTGTTCGTTTTCACCCATTTTCTCTCGAGTTTCAAAGGTCATTTAATAAACTTTCAGGACAAAAGGGGATCTGGATCCGCCTATATTTCCATCTATGTTATTGACTGGACAGTTAAGTATACTAGTCATCATACTAGTGAGTGAGTGAGTATGGTTTTACGCCGCTTTTAGCAATATTCATGCACAGCTTGCAGGGGGCCTATTCTAATCTAGAACTCCGCGGGTTTGATCCTGACAGTGTTGGTACTGAAAGCAAGACAACTTGAAAGCCTGCACCTGTAGATGAGCCATTTTCTTTGTCATTCCCCTTCTCCTCAGCTGCGCCCTTCTCAACATCTTTCTTCTCCTCCTTTTTGTCCTCTTTCTTCTTCTCATCGAGAGCTTCCAGCTTCTTTGCCACTGCCTCGGCTTCTATGAGGTCATATCTGGAACACACACAGGGTTCATACAGATTATCAGTCATCATATTTTAGGCCCATTTAAGGTCTTTTCAAATCCCAATCATGTAATTTACTGATTAAAATTGATATTTTATACTTATCCTGACTCATGCTAAATGCTTGTCTCCTTCTTCTTGCGAATGGTAGTGGAACACTTGAAATCCCTTGAAGTTCCCTTCTAATAATAACGGACGTAAAATCACCACTCACCCACGAATTGCCTCCCTTGCCCCTCTTGGCACCCTTTTCAGTCATCTGACTGGCCATGCTGGTCACTCTATCCTGAATGTTACTTTCTCCTGACACCCGATTTAAAGGGAAATCCAGAGTGCCTTGAGAGGGCAGGTTGGGAGGGCTGACCTCATGAGTCAGGATAAGTATAAAATATAAATTTTAATCAGAAAATTACATATTTTTCCTTATCCTGACTCATGTTAAATGCTTGCAGAATCCGTTAAGGAATCGGTGGTGGGTCAAGCACTTCCTGGATTCACTGGCTGCTTTTTTACGTCCTGTATTACCCCCCCATGGGAACTTATGACGGCACTGCTGATGACTGTTCTTCCAACTACCATCTGATGAGTCTGGGGGGGACCACAACTTGTCAGATTTCCTCCAAACTTCTCCTGACAGTTTCAAGTGTGGATTTTAGATATACTAATGTCCCATTAGTTATCTATTGCAACTCCATGTCTTGATGCGTGCATCAAAAAGTGGAGATCACGAACCTTCTTCATGTACTGAGTAAGACCTATACAAGTACAGGGTCTATCACTCATGCTAGTCTGTCCCAGGCGATGTGCATGGAGGTGTGGGTGAGTTTTGTGGAACATGGACTTAACCATTGGCCCAAACTGGTGAATGCTGAGAGCGTCCAGTCTCTGTTGGTTTTCACAAGTCACGTGATAAAGAGGGTGTGAGTTTGTACCCTCAGGCAATCTGTCTAGCCACTCTGATTCTGGGGGATGATGTAACCATTAGTTGTTGTGCTACAACCTCAAGTGGCCCAAACTGGAAGAATGCCTGTTAGACGCCATTCTCTCAATATGCAGAGAACCTCTCTCAAGTCAAGGGCCCAGTCTCCCAGCTGAGTCAACTAGTGGTTGGCAAACACTACGTGTCTGATTTCCAAAGGAGCAGCATTGCTCCATTATAGTTGTATCGAGACTGCAGTTTCCATGCAGAGACAAGTGACCATCTGTATCCCAAATGTCCAGGGCTCTGACTTTCATGTGGATTGGAGGCTCGTGGAGGCTCAAGTCCTCCTGCTTTGGATTGGGGCCCCTTAGTATGTATGGCTCTCATCCATACTGATATAGTTGTCTGTGAGACTTCCGTGGGCGTCTCAGTGGATAAGGGGATGAAAAGGCGCTTGAATTTTCGTCACCTAGTCTTTGTCCTTTCTAGGTAGACTTTAAGTGCTCTGACAGGGCATGAGGATAGATCCTGCACATCCTGTGGCCCACGGACTGTAGAAAGTGCTGGGATGTGGAACTGTCTGTCAGGCTGTCCAGGTAGTTGGTTCTTTGCAATGAAATCCCATCTCAGTACCAGATGTACGATGTTACGATGTGTTGATTCAAATCGTGTTCTTTCAAAGTCCAGAGCATGTATTTCTGACATCCGTGCTGCTGTTGCTAGGGCAATCAGGAACAGTGTTTTCTGTGTCAGTAGTTCAAAAGATGTCCTTTGTAGAGGCTCGTAGGCTTCACTGGTGAGATGTTGTAGTACTACATTGAGTACCCATGCAGGAGCCTTGAATTTCTTTTGTTGGTCTTCCAAGTAGAACGAGCATAGTAGTGCCAGTATCTCTGGTACTTTGGTCAACTTGACACCCGTCTTCATGCTGAGAGCAGCCAGGTATGTTGATAGTGTTGAACCTTTTAAGTGTCTCGTCTGTCGCAAATGACACAGGTATTCCGCCACTTGAGGATGGGTTGCTTTCCTTGCTGTAAAGCCTTTCCTCGTTGCATACTGTTCAAACTTCTGCCACTTGTCGTCGTACAAGTTGCGAGTTGATCTGCGTAGAGCTAGTGTCACTGCTTTCACTGCTCTGGCGGAGTACCCTCTTTTCTTCAAGCAGCTTTGATACGCTCCACACGTGTAGCTTGAACATCGTCGGATTCCCGTGAGCTTGCTTGGTGTGTGGATGGACAAGTAGGTTTGACCACTCTGGTAGTTTCAGGGTTGGACTTCCCAGTTCTTGTATGAGGACGGGAAACCATACCCACGCTGGCCAAAATCAGTTGCAGCGTCGTCGTTTGCTTGATTTTCTGTATTACTTGTGGTAGTAGTGCTGGAGGTGAAAACGCATATGCGTTTAGTCCTTCCCAGGAGATGCTTAGAGCATCTGTTGCCCATGCCTGAGGATCTGGTACCGGTGAGACGAATGTTGGTAGTTGTTTGTTGAACTTTGTTGCAAATAGGTCTATGAGCGGAGATCCTACTGTCTGTATGATGAACCGAAATACTTCTGGATGTAGCATCCATTCCGTCAGGGATGGTTGAAGTGGACGAGATAGGGCATCTGCTATGACATTCTTTGCTCCTGGAATGTGACATGCCTTCGCGTAGATGTTCAGGTTGTCGACGATGCTGAACAGGAGGAAACTGAGCTTTAGCAGACTTGGTGATCTAGTTGATCCTTGTTTGTTGATATAAAAGGCCACTGTGGAGTTGTCAGTGTGGACCATGAGCTTTGCATTCCTCAGTACGCTGGACCAATGTTGTAAGGCGTTGATCACTGCTTTCATCTCTAGCAGGTTGATGTGTAGAAGTTGATCCTGAATCGACCACTTCCCTGCTGCCACTTCGTTGTGTAGGTGAGCACCCAAACCTTGTAGGATGCATCCACGTAGAGATGAGTGTTGCACACCGGCTCTGACAAAAAGGTTCCTCCGCAAACATTCGACTTCTTTGTCCACGATAGGAGACTGAGCATGCTTTGCCAAGCATGTAGTGTCAACGGAGAGAGCATTGCTTGAGATATCATCTGTTGTATCTTGACCCAACGATCCTCTGGGACGACAATGCGATTCAACGGCATGATGAAACGTATTCCTAGGAACTGTAGATCCTGTTTCGGCTCCAGTTCCGACTTGAGGAGATTTACCAGCCATCCTAGTTGAGTGAGAAGCCTGATGGTGAAGTCTAGTTGCAGTCTGAGTTGCCTGGGTTCTTGATGAACTTGAATTCCGTCGTCCAGGTAGAATGCACTGCGTAGACCTCAACGATGTAGATATGCAACGATGGGCTTGGTCACTCGAGTAAACAACCAGGGGGCCGACGATATTCCAAACGGTAGAACCTTCCACTGGAAGTGATGTCCATTGAAAAGGAACCTTAGGTATTTCCTTGAGTCTGGATGTATCGGGATGTGTAGGTACACGCATCTTGTAGATCTATGCTGGCGAGGTAGTCTGACGGACGAACGAGATGTCGGAGCTGAGGAAGATGTATCATCTTGAATCTTGCTGGTTTACGAAGATACTCCTGGTTGAACTTCATCATGTTGCAGATGAGCCGAAACTTCTCCTTGGAATTCTTTTTCGGTACCAGGTAAATTGGGGAGTAAAACCTGGGCCTGATGTGGTCTTGATGTATTTCTTCGACTGCATCTTTGTCGAGTAGAGTCTTGATTGCGTCGACGCGTCCAGTTTGTCTATCTGGTCGGCTGCGTAGGTGAAGGCCAGTGGGTTGCTTGTAAGCAGGGGAGTGACTTCCAACTCTATCTTGTACCCTCTGCGTAGTATCTGTGAAAGGTTGCATGTCGAAGGTTGTAGGGGAACGGCTGGGGGTGGAAGACTCAAGTCGTTCCAAACCTGTCCTTCAGCGCTTGAATCCCCTGGCACCTCTGGGTACTCGGCCTCTTCCGGGTATGCCTTTGGGGGTCCGGTTCGGCGACGAAAAGAACCTCTTCCTCCTCTAGGGTTGGAGTATTTATTTTCTTTGAGTATATCATCTGGTCCTCTTCTTTGGTGGAGTTCTTGAATGTAGAGATGAGTTCTTCGTTGATAGCCCTAGACCTGGCTAGTCCAAAGAAAGTCACGTCTAGTAGTCGTTATCTAGTTAGCTAGCTTCTTATCCTCAATCTTATAAGTTCTATAACGGGTGTCGTTGATGATTTTGTAGTCCTCATCAATCTCTGGTGCCTTCAGAAAGGGTTTCATGTGATGTAAGGGGAATTCCTTGGCATTGAACCTCGGGATGTGTTGATTCTGAGACTTGGTAGCTTTATCAAAGGCTGCTCTGAGATTTTCCGGTACTTTGGAGATCGGGTCGATCGGTGGGAAGGTGAGTGTGTCGAACTCTTCGTTGGACATCTTGTATGAATAAGCCTCATCTGTGTCCTTGGATGGTGATATTAGGTCCAGACCATTTGCAATCCATGAGGTTACTTCCGCATCCGAGAATATGACTTCACCTTCATCCTCAGATTTCGACATCTCCCGATCTGATGAACCGTGGCGACGTGAGTCTCTATATGTAGATCTGTATGTAGAGCTGCGCGCAGGTGAACGATCCCGATGAGAACTAGTATCTCTCCTGGAGTCTTGTGATATATCTCTAGACCTTCGCGAAGGTTGATTAGTTGAAGACTCTCTGTGAGATGTGGAGCGCCTGCGTGAAGGTTCCCGACGTGCTTCTGAGTCCGACGGAGATGATGATCCATATCTACATCTACTGTAGGGTTCAGGAGAACGCTTCGATCTACTTTGGTGTGGAGGACTCTTGGAGTTTCCTTCAGGGACGTCTAACGCTGAGCTGACGTTGGTAACATTGTCCAAGCTCCTCTTTCCAGTCGGGGAGGATCGTCGGGTGCGTAGTAGACCTTCACACAGGTTCGTCTCTTCTTCCAGATGCATTTGAGTGGCAGCAGATCCTTCACGCAGGCTTGTGTAGTCACGCCAGAGGTCCTCGTAGTAGCTTTCTCCTGCGCGAAGCGACATTCCATCATCGACATCATCTGTTCCGTAAATTGTTGCATAAACAGCCCCGGGTTGAAGTTCTGCGACGTAAGTTGAGACTGCTGTAGGGTTGATGATGCTTCGGAGAGCGATGACGCCTCTTCTAAGTTACGCTGCGCTTGAGAAGAATTGACGCTGCTGCTATCTCTAGTACCCGATCTCTGCGTTGATAGAAGATCTTCTGTCAATGTCTGCGCTGATATAGTTGCCGATGTCGCTGTAGAAGCAGGTTTCGTCTTCTTGGAAACGACTGTGACTTCAGGTATGAGGATGGAGGGGTCATCATACACGTCTACTTCCGATGGAGAGAGTGACAAGCATGGCCAGTCAGGTGACTGAAAAGGGCGCCAAAAGGGGCAAGGGAGGCAACTCGTGGGTGAGTGGTGATTTTACGTCCGCTTTTATTAGAAGGGAACTTCAAGGGATTTCAAGTGTTCCACTATCATTCACAAGAAGAAGGAGACAAGCATTAAGCATGTGTCAGGATAAGGTAAAAAAAACAATTTTAAGGCCCTGTAGAAACGCATAATAAACATATAAGTAGTTGGATTCGTGGTTTTTTTTTAAATGTCGGGCCAATCATCAAAGGGACGTAACTTCCAGATACATCATGGCATTGACCCATCTTCTGGTCCGAGCCGATCATAAACTATATCCCCACCATCACACGGGGAAAGTTTTGGTTCGTGATGGAGATTAATTAACACACATTGTCATTGGAACATATTTTTGATACATTAGTTTCCTGTAACTTGACAAGTTCGGCTTAATTTAGGGCCTTCTCAGGGAAAATCACTGGCAAATAGGGCCTTTTCAAGGTTTAATCGAATTCGCCCGTGCAAACCCTGGGCTTACATCACAGTCTCCAAATACATGACTGTTCTAGCTATGATTACATAACACACCTGCGTTCACACCTGCACATGTGTGTTCATTTTTAAGTTTTACCTTTCTTTAAGGTTCTGGGACAAGCCCTCTGCTCTCTCTATAGCATGAAGCTGGTTCTTCTTCCCAATGAGGTTGTCAAAGTACTCCTGAAGAAGGAACACTCATTAGAATTAGACACAGTCACTAGGCCGTGGCAAGTGAAAATACAGAGTGACTACTCTTGTCATCATCATTTCACATACACAAGTCGACTGAAATAAGTTCCTGAACTGCACTAGAATCACTCACTCACTCAAGACAGGGATTACATTCTGGATGTTTGTGAGTCTATTGGCATATATCATCTAATGCCACTTCTCTGACACACTGATTCACCTCTGCTTTTCAATTTACTATATGCTGTCGCTATTTACCTTCTGCTTGATATATTCAGCCTTTCTCTTGGCCGTCTGTATGACGTTGAAGTACCGCATGTACAGGACATAAGCTCGCTCCTCGTCCGAAAGTTCATCTTGGTGCACAGCTTCACGAAATGTCTTGTCTGCAGACTTTATGATGCTGGAAATAGTCGTCACAGTTTCAGTTTCATAAATACTTCAAAATCAAAGTCTCAGTTATTTTTGGAAATAATCAAGTGAGGACAAGAGTGAGTGAGTTTAGTTTTACGCCACTTTTAGCAATATTCCAGCAATATTACAACGGGTGACACCAGAAATTGGCTTCACACATTGCACCCATGTGGGGAATTGAACCTGGGTCTTTGGCGCAAGGAGCGAACGCTTTAACCAGTAGGCTACCCCGTCAGTCAAAAATTGAAAAGTAAATTGTAAAATCCAGTGACAGACATCATGAACATCAATCTACATAACATACGCAGTGACATTATCTTTCAGACTATAATGTCCGATGCAATTCCTTGTCGTGACTTGTACCATACGTTTCCGTGTTTCTTTCAGGGGACTGACTTGGTTGCCAAATGTCATCATATCCCAATTGCGTAAAACGATGCTCATGGTGTTAATCACAGGATTGTCTGGTCTAGACTTGATTATTTACAGACCGCTGCCATTTAGCTGGAATATTGCTGAGTATGGATTGAATAATAAAGAAATCGTTCTGATGAACCATTGACATGCCTTTGCATGCGTTTATTAAGGTTGAGGAAGAATATGCTCATCTTTTCACAAACACTTGGTATCATCATGTGATCACTACTTGACAGATTCGTAAAAATATGCTTTGATATCACAAAAGACTCTGCTCTTGGAGGTATTTCTAGTGAATATTTTTTAGAGATAGATTTTCATGGGAATAATATCCAGTTGACTAGGAAACTGTGCTAAAGCGCTGAAGAGTCTGGCAAACAGAAACATTAGGTGTCCATTAACGAATGTTTTTCTAAACAAATGAGTCTTCACACTGGATTTAAAGCTGTCAAGTTCCTGGAGTTTGTTTGTTTACGCCACACTCAGCAATATTCCAGCTATAGACATGTCGCAGTATAAAATAATCAAGTCTGGACCAGACAATCCAGTGATCAACATCAAAAGCATTGATCTACGCAATTGGGAAACCATGAGATGTGCCAACCAAATCAGCGAATGTGACCACCTGACCCTGTTAGTCGCCTCTTACGGCAAGCATGAGTTGCTTAAGATCAGTACTAACTTGGATCTTCAGAGGTAGTTCCTGGGGTGTCCTTAACTAAAGAGGAACGGTCCAACAGTGTGAGGAGCCACTGCCGAATGTTGATTCAGCTCATGACTCTGAATACTGAGATAATAGGGTGTGGTTCACATTCTCCACTTACATTGTGACATTATTCCCCAGGTCTTTGCACTCCCCCAGCTTGTTGAGGTCAGCCATGTTTTTACCCAGGTACAGGTCCTTCTTCTTGGGGCTTTTCCCCGGCATGGTGGTTGCGTTGTTTGATCAGCAACGTCTTCAACATGTAATCTGAAACAGAGGCAACAAAGCTGGATATTTCATACAAGTTTATCATGCAAACTCCTGGTCTCAAGAGGAATGAGCAGTTTTCTCTGTTGGCTTGCAATATTCCAGCAACGTCTCAGCAGCATGTACATGTATAGAAATCATGAACCACAAAATCTATCGTCCTCTCCATTTAATGATTACACTTTTCCAGGCTCTAAATAATGCTCAGTGGTATTTCAAAGAGATTTATTGGTACATTCCCATTATCATTATCTGCCACATTGCTATAAGCCCTATTTGAAGTACTTCTAGATCACTCTAAGGCTCTTCACAAGTTGTTTTTACCTCGATCATTGGATGTCAATCTCAAACGGAACATTGTATTATCAATCTCAACTCCCTGGGGAGTATACAACATGATACAACTTGTGATATACGTTAGTTTCACGTCACGATGACCCGCTTTACATATTCAAATCATTAAAATGTTGAAATCCACAGATCACTACCTTGTTCATTCTAAAATGTAGCACCAATGAAGATCATCATATGTCATGGTTACCATGGTTACTGGTTACAACTCAAACCTAGATCATTGACATGTTACAGTACAGGGAATGAAGCATTACTGTTTGTGAATCTTTTCTAGTATCTGAATTGTAAAAGAGGCTTCTTGGATGATAATATCATGATATATACAGTGATCTTATAAAATGGAAAACTGTTTACCTGCATGTCAGAAAAAAATGGGTAGTCAATTTTCTCAAAATGCAATTGAATATTTCACAGACATGACGTATGGAAACGAATGATAAATCTCTGAATGTGAATGTTTGAAGGTAGACTCTCCCACTCATACACTTTGTGAAATTTGGCAATGTATTGACTGATGTTATCATGCATTATTTTGAAAAACATAATTACATATGCATTTAATAAAATACTATTCATGATACCAGAGTTGCAAACTCAAGAACTTTTGAAGACACTTGACCTAGCCCATGAGTCATTTATCATGTTTATTGTTGGAATATTGCTGAAGCAATGAAAACTTTGTATAATCGTATTTGTGTGTATGTGTATATGAGTGAGTGAGTGAGTAGGGTTTTACGCCGCCTTTATTATATATTTCAGCAATATCACGGCAGGGGACACCAGAAATTGGCTTCACACATTGTAGTATTTGTACCCAAGAGGGAAATCGAACCCAGGTCTTCGGTGTGACGAGCGAACGCTTTAACCACTAGGCTACCCCGCCGCCTTGTATGCGTATAAGAGAGCATGGTGATGTTTTAGAATGGTGTTGATGATTTCATGAATCACAGATACCAATGACATCTGATGTGCTAATTTGATAATTAAGCCAAGTTAATAACAGATAACATATTCAACACCTCCAACTGTGACGCTTACCATTATGATTGAAATCCCCCAAAAGTGCAGCTCTTGTGTTTAATTCTACATCAGAATTTGTATCAAACCTATATTATGCAAGCACAAGGTTGTCACACCTGTAAATCTCCTGATATTTCCAGCAAAGCTAAACTTTATCAATATCCTTTCTGTACGATTAACACTTGCAATTTCTGATAGACAGTATTTTCGCAGACCCTAAAAATTATTTAACAATATCGCCAATTGCCACAGAAGCGGTGACACAATTGTTGTCAAACCCATATGACCCAACGCAATCGTGACTTAGTCTACTGATGTCAGTGACTGTCAAACCATTTCCTTTTAACATGTTAACCACTGAACGCAAACTGGAGTTAAAGGCATTGACAATAAACATGCTTATCATTACTGCATTTCATCTAAACAACGACACAATAAAATGTTGATAAAAGCCCCAATATGTCAACATTCTACGATATTTCAGAATCAAAACATCGACTTACATCTCTCGCTTCCGCCATGGATGATACTATTTTTAGAAATAGTAAAAATCAAGCCGTAACGTAAGATGAAAACGGTGCACATTCTTTTGACTCTGTAATCATAGTTTGGCTAATATTCCAAGAGACATACATTATTTAACAATACTGATTAATTTCATTTGACATTTTGTCATTTGTAATAGCTATTATATTTAAAATGTCCCAAACAAAAAATCATATTCCGTTTTAGTTTTACATTTGCTCTTATTAACCAACTTCCTGTTCGGGAAGTCTCAAAATCCAATCGCATTTCAACACGAAAAGATAACTAAAATAAAGTTGATTTGAACGAGTGAAGTGTACGCTGTATATAGTCAAGATGAAAGCGTGGCGCGTATATCTGCTGATGTCTCTGCTTCTTGCTGTTGCTTTCGCAGCAAAAAAGACCGTTGACGAAGATGAAGACGATGACGAGGAAGATGGGAAAGTAGAAGACGACGAGGAGGAGGTAGAGCGAAAAGAAAAAGACAAGTTTAAGAAGAAAAATATCCGAGACTATGATGAAGCGGACTTGGAAAGACTCTATGATCAATGGGAGGTAAAGCATTCATTTCCCCCGATTTGTATGTGTGACATTTTATGAAACGAACCTAAAAGCGTATGTATTTGCAAGACAGATGTGGGCCGATACATTTAAAGGGAATACAGGGGGGAGGGGCGTGGGAAGCGTCAGGCGCAGCCATGGGTAGTTCACGAACAATTATATTCAGGAAACGGTCGTTTATGTTTCATATGACATTTATTCAATTTATCCAATCGCACAGCATATAGTGTCATGTGTTTACAACTACCTAACAAAGAATGTTTGATGTACGCATTAATTGTGGGAGGGGGCATCATGGTGTACGTGCTTAGTTTGTCATACACAAATGCACTCTCAGTGTGCGTAATAGCCACTGGCCCACTAGCCCGTGGCTAGTAAAAGTCCAGTTGTACCAGTAAATCTCCAGAGTCACGGCCCGACTGGCTAGTGAATTTTCATGGGATCATTTTGTAAAATATATATCACTCTCTCCGACTTGTTATGTTATAATACAATTTTAAATCATGCAAGATTATAGCTTGATAAAAATGTTCATCTTATTAGCAGCTAATGATGACCCGGGTCTACTAGTGAATTACTTTGTGGGCTAGTAACTTTCAGGCATAGCTAGCCTGACAGGCTATCAAAATTTGGAAACTATTTCACACGCAGTTCACCCTGTGTGTCCAAGTAGATGAGGAATCATCATTGCTCAATTTACACTGAGCTACTGATTGATTGTGGCTCAATGGTTCAATTTCACTGAATGTCCCTGATCACCTGCCAATTACACACACACCAGGATGCACAGGAGGGCAAAGTCCCACTATGTTTAAAGTATGTCATGAACAAAACGTAATGAATTTGCTTGGATACATTCGGTCTTGTTACAGCTCCACAATGTTTAAAGTATGTCATGAACAAAACGTAATGAATTTGCTTGGATATATTCGGTCATGTTACAGCTCCACAATGTTTAAAGTATGTCATGAACAAAACGTAATGAATTTGCTTGGATATATTCGGTCATGTTACAGCTCCACAATGTTTAAAGTATGTCATGAACAAAACGTAATGAATTTGCTTGGATATATTCGGTCATGTTACAGGTCCACAATGTTTAAAGTATGTCATGAACAAAACGTAATGAATTTGCTTGGATACATTCGGTCATGTGACAGCTCCACAATGTTTAAAGTATGGTCATGAACAAAACGTAATGAATTTGCTTGGATATATTCGGTCATGTTACAGCTCCACAATGTTTAAAGTATGTCATGAACAAAACGTAATGAATTTGCTTGGATACATTCGGTCATGTTACAGCTCCACAATGTTTAAAGTATGGTCATGAACAAAACGTAATGAATTTGCTTGGATATATTCGGTCATGTTACAGCTCCACAATGTTTAAAGTATGTCATGAACAAAACGTAATGAATTTGCTTGGATACATTCGGTCATGTTACAGCTCCACAATGTTTAAAGTATGTCATGAACAAAACGTAATGAATTTGCTTGGATATATTCGGTCATGTTACAGCTCCACAATGTTTAAAGTATGGTCATGAACAAAACGTAATGAATTTGCTTGGATACATTCGGTCATGTTACAGCTCCACAATGTTTAAAGTATGTCATGAACAAAAACGCGTAATGAATTTTTTTTTTAGAAAACAGCTCCACAATGTTTAAAGTATGAATTTGCTTGGATATATTCGGTCATGTTACAGCTCCACAATGTTTAAAGTATGTCATGAACAAAACGTAATGAATTTGCTTGGATACATTCGGGTCATGTTACAGCTCCACAATGTTTAAAGTATGGTCATGAACAAAACATAATGAATTTGCTTGGATACATTCGGTCAATTTGCTTGGATATATTCGGTCATGTTACAGCTCCACAATGTTTAAAAGTATGGTCATGAACAAAAAGCGTAATGAATTTGCTTGGATACATTCGGTCATGTTACAGCTCCACAATGTTTAAAGTATGGTCATGAACAAAACGTAATGAATTTGCTTGGATATATTCGGTCATGTTACAGCTCCACAATGTTTAAAGTATGGTCATGAACAAAACGTAATGAATTTGCTTGGATACATTCGGTCATGTTACAGCTCCACAATGTTTAAAGTATGGTCATGAACAAAACGTAATGAATTTGCTTGGATATATTCGGTCATGTTACAGCTCCACAATGTTTAAAGTATGGTCATGAACAAAACGTAATGAATTTGCTTGATATATTCGGTCATGTTACAGCTCCACAATGTTTAAAGTTCCACAATGTTTAAAGTATGTCATGAACAAAACGTAATGAATTTGCTTGGATACATTCGGTCATGTTACAGCTCCACGATGTTTAAAGTATGTCATGAACAAAACGTAATGAATTTGCTTGGATACATTCGGTCATGTTACAGCTCCACAATGTTTAAAGTATGGTCATGAACAAAACGTAATGAATTTGCTTGGATACATTCGGTCATGTTACAGCTCCACAATGTTTAAAGTATGGTCATGAACAAAACGTAATGAATTTGCTTGGATATATTCGGTCATGTTACAGCTCCACAATGTTTAAAGTATGTCAAGAACAAAACGTAATGAATTTGCTTGGATATATTCGGTCATGTTACAGCTCCACAATGTTTAAAGTATGTCATGAACAAAACGTAATGAATTTGCTTGGATATATTCGGTCATATTTACAGCTCCACAATGTTTAAAGTATGTCATGAACAAAACGTAATGAATTTGCTTGGATATATTCGGTCATGTTACAGCTCCACAATGTTTAAAGTATGTCATGAACAAAACGTAATGAATTTGCTTGGATACATTCGGTCATGTTACAGCTCCACAATGTTTAAAGTATGTCATGAACAAAACGTAATGAATTTGCTTAGATACATTTGGTCATGTTACAGCTCCACAATGTTTAAAGTATGGTCATGAACAAAACGTAATGAATTTGCTTAGATACATTCGGACATGTTACAGCTCCACAATGTTTAAAGTATGGTCATGAACAAAACGTAATGAATTTGCTTGGATACATTCGGTCATGTTACAGCTCCACAATGTTTAAAGTATGTCATGAACAAAACGTAATGAATTTGCTTGGATACATTCGGTCATGTTACAGCTCCACAATGTTTAAAGTATGTCATGAACAAAACGTAATGAATTTGCTTGGATACATTCGGTCATGTTACAGTTTTGTAGCAGTTGCCCCTATTACAAAATGCCAAGATCCATTTTGCAGAGTTGCCTCCCTTAATTTGTTAGGATTTGCTATCTTTTTTGTTCAAATCACATGTTTATTATGATCCTTGACTTATTCGCTTTATCATTTGAAATACTAATCTTTTCACTGTTGAAATTAAATATAGCTCAATGTAAGTTTCACAACAAAAAGTCCTTATTATTGTCTGTTATACTTGTTAAGCATTAAAGATTTAAGAGATCCATAGATTAATATGTAGGAGCAAATTTCAAGAACCCCATAAACCCCTAAATTTCAAACACTGTGAACATTATCCAGAACAACAACAAACACTTTACAAATATGAGTAGCTATCTATATGTCAAGTATAATCTCATTTCTGAACTTTGATTCTCACTCGGGCAATACAACATTTCGCACTCGTTTCTTATAAGTCGTATGACACACTTGCTCGTGTAATAATTTCTTTTGTTATTCATTTTATTCATGTGCATTTGTGCAGTACAACACGGTAAGCAATTGTGACTGCCCAGTTCATAGACGTCAGGTTCAATTGTTTAATGACGTCACAGACGATGAAACACAGAAACAATGGTTGCTAGGCAAAAGTAATATGTGCACATATGCACATATGATATTTATGACACTGGTTATGTTTCACCATATAGATAATAAAAAAAAGTATGTATATCAAATGCATATACCTATAGTGTGGACTCAATTTCATTGGTAGTTTTATCTTTGATTGGTCAGTGAGTCAAATATATAACAGTTTTATATAACATATAGATAACACAACTGTATCAAGGTTACTGAATGTTTTCAACCAAAAATATCAAGGAAATTTATCTATTCATTTCTTGCTATATTTCTAATGTGTTACATATGTTGCAGTGCTCATGAAATAATTCATTCAAAGCGTGCTATATCTGAAATTGGATATATAAGCTGCAGCTTTTTTCACAAAGAACTATTTGAGATATGGATATGGCTGATCTGAGATGAGACACTAAATGCTTAATGATGTTTCGTGTTGGTCTCTGATTCGCTGGAAATTTAGTCCACTGAATTTTTAATATCAGTTTATGTTATGGTCTCAGATTACACCTGAAGAAGTAAGGCAATCTGTTTAAGTTGAACAGTTTCAGATAAGCTTGAGAGACTATGTCAATATTTATTTGAATTTGAAACTTAAGTCTCCTTTTAGAGGACATTTATTGAAATGCATCAATAATAATGATCTTATTTTCTTTAAAAAAGAGGTGTTGTATCATTTTGTTTTAATATTGCATTCAACAAAATAAAAATAAAAAATATAAAAAATTAAAATATCTAGAAATCTGGAAACTTGGGAAATGTGTCAAAAAATATAGATCCCAGTTTCTTTAAATAAGAGGTGTTGTTTTTATGTTGTAGTCAATGAAATAATAAAAACCTAAAAAGAATTACAATATCTCTAAATCTGTAATTGAGCTTGGAAAATATGTCAAAAGTAAAGATCCCATTTTCTTAGATAAGAGGTTTTGTATCATTTTGTTTTTATATTGCATTCAATAAAAGAATAAAAACCTAAAAAAAAATGTAAAATATCTAACCAAAAACTTCTAACGTTAGTTTGATTGCGATATTATTTATATGAATGTGACAGATTGGGAATTGTTTTAATTTCTAAATCAGGACTACCTTAGACATACAGATTTGTGGAGGCATCAGTGGCTGATTGGTTTAGGTGCTTCCAGATGATAGGCAGCCTCACTCTGAGGGTATGCAGGGATTAACAGGACGCAAATTCCTGCATCCTATACGCATACAAAATTGACAATGGACGCAATTAAATTAAATTGGGTTTAACGTCGTGCTGGAGAATATTTCGCTCATATGACGACATGCATGCATGTGTATGTGTATGTGCAGCTGCTTGTACTAGCCCAGACTAAAGCTGGTTTTATAGTGCTAGCCCACTGAGATACCATGCCGCAGTGAAGCATGAATACCCCACTCAGACACATTATACTGACTCCGAGCCGACCAGTCCTTGTTGTACCCATTAATGCCTAGCGCCAGACAGGGTCAACGAGTGTGATGACTTTCAGCTTTCCGCGAGTCAAGCAAGGTCTAATACTATTGTGACAGAGGCATTAGCATTGTGACATCATAACTGTAAACCAGTAATAACATTGTAAAATTATTAAACAGTGGTATCTTCAACGGGTGAGTAATGAATACCAATACCACTTTGGAGAAATCTCAATGGTGCTGACATACAAGAAATATCAGCACAGCAAATCTGGGATTTAAACTCACGATAGGGCTCGATTTAAGAGATGTTAACCCACTTGCACCGGGTGCAATCTAAGATAAAAACCTCGTTGGACCAACCAAATCCAGTTGCACTGCATTTATTGCAATATGTAGGTGCAATTATTTAGATGTTTTATTCAGAAGTTTACCCACTCAAAAATTGACTTGCACCTGGTGGAAGTTAGATTAATAACTAGGTTGCACTTTGTAATATTGGGTTTCACCAGTGCAAATAACACTAAATCGAACCCTAAACAATCATAATCTCCCGACACACCTAAGGGACATAACTTTGCAAAGATATGACTGGGCCTTTCCATGCCCCCAAATAAGTCCATAAAGTCAGTTTTGCAGGAAAGTTGTACAAAAATCATTATCACAATTAGATTATAAAATACTTTTGTAAAGAAAAAACTAAAGATAGGATATCATGATATGCATCGAATCAAATTGTATCGTTCCAAGATATCGTGATACATATCATTTGGTGAGATTTCTGTATTGTTGCACCTCTAATCATTATACAGAAATTATGGAACAGTTGACACTTTTTTTTTCTTTTTTAGCAAAAATGTATTCTTATGGGATTTTCTATGTCAGGCAACTAAAATGAACAAAATATTTCAGAGATATTCTGAAATTAAGGTCCTTTGATATCATGGTTATCATGAAATGAATGTTGCTGGCAATAAGTAAGCAAAACATATCAAGTCTGACTGTTGCAAAATTTTACAGTGATCAGTATTTTAAAGTAACACTCAATGAGTCTTTGTCGCAAGAGGCGACTAACGGGATCGGGTGGTCAGGCTTGCTGGCTCGGTTGACACATGCCATAGGTTCCCAATTGTGCAGATCGATGGTCATGCTGTTGATCACTGGATTGTCTGGTCCAGACTCAATTATTTACAGACCGCTGGAATATATATTGCTGGAATAATGCTGAGTGCGGCGTAAAACTAAACTCACTCACTTTGTTGTATACATGGTATCTTTGATTTGGACAGTTAAGATTCAGGGTATCCCTAGATTAAGGGAGCGGTGTGGTAGCCTCATGGTTAAAGCCTTCATTCATCACGCTGAAGACTCAGGTTCGATTCCTCACATGGGTACAATGTGTGAAGTCCATTTCTGGTGTCCCCCACCATGATATTGCTGGAATATTGCTAAAAGTGGCGCAAATCTAAAAATCACATAGATAGGGATCTGAAACCAAAAGCTGAAGGAACATAAAACACTCTCTTGTGTTGAACTATGATTAATGTGATTACGTCAGACTCATAATTGCTTCATATGTATTAAGAACACATTGTTCTATTCTGAACTGCGGTGAGATGAACAAAGCTGTATCTTTCCCCGTAGCACGGGGCTTTGATGCTGCCAGTCAAAAATCAATTCAGGATTATAAATATTTTATAATAAGAGCCAAATCTTGTGGTAGAAGTGGAAATGTCAAGGTTGAAACTGTTTCTGTCAACTTGTGACATATCAGACTTGTCTGTGTATCAGAGTCATTGATTTTCAACAGCCATATGTGTCCTATTCTTATGATACCAAAGGCCCGTGAAGATCCTGGAAGTCTGGGCTTGCCCAGTTTAACCCCGGTATAGTCTGGGACAGGGGTATACTCTGGCCTACTACACGGGTTAGAATTGATCTTCAGTAACCCATGCTTGTCGTAAGAGGCAACTAACGGGATCAGATGGTCAGACTTGATGACTTGGTTGACACATGTCATTGGTTCCCAATTGTGTAGATCGATGCTCATGCTGTTCATCACTGGATTGTCTGGTCCAGACTAGTTTATTTACAGACCGCTGCCATATAGCTGGAATATTGCTGAGTGTGGTGTAAGACTAAACTCACTCACTGATGAATCACAATTTCTTAATATTCTAATATGTTGCCATAGTTACCAGACTTGGATATTTTGATTCTATGTTTAAGATCAGTTACAGGTTGCAAATAAATTGTGTACTTTGTCCCCCTCAGTTATGTTTCTTGGAGATTTAGCCCTGTTCAGTGGCAGACAAGAAATATCTTGTACAACAGATCAAAGCAGTTCATTTCATTAATCACAGAAACAAAAGTATATCAATTTCATATTGCTGAAAGCAGTGTAACAGAAACTGAAAGACTGAATGAATGAATGGATCATACAGTTTTGGCATTCATGCATAAGTTTTTACATGTACTCTGGAGCGGTGTGGCAGCCTTATGGTTAAAGCGTTGGCTCGTCACGCCGAAGACCCGGGTTCGAATCCCCACATGGGTACAATGTGTGAAGCCCATTTCTGGTGTCCCCCGCCGTGATGTTGCTGGAATATTGCTAAAAGCAGCGTAAAACCAAACTCAGTCAGTACATGTACTCTGCTGCACTGGCTAATGTAAAGATGTGCAACATCGGGAAGTATTTTGTATCTGGTTATACATATGGTGGGGTAGCCTATTGGTTAAAGCATACACTTGTCACTCCGAATACCCGGGTTTGAATTTCCACATTGGTCTGTTGCTTTGCTTGAATATTACTAAAAACAGTTTAAAACCTTATCAGGGCTCGATTTAGTGTCTTGTTATTTGCACTGGTGAAACCCAACATTACAAAGTGCAACCTAGTTATTAGTCAATATGGCACTAGGTGCAAGTCAATTTTTTATTGTGTAAGCTTCTGAATAAAACATCTAAATAATTGCATCTACATATTGCAATAAAAGCAGTGCAACTGGATTTGGTTGGTGCAACTGGAATTGGTTGGTCCAACTAGGCTTTTATCTTAGATTGCACCTGGTGCAAGTAGGTTACATCTCTTAATCGAGCCCTGCATATTCACTTACTCCTTAACCTCCCAGAATACCCCATGACCAGTGGTTAAGGTTTTTGCTCATCAGGCTGAAGACCCAGATGATTTCCCACATGGCCACAATGTCCCCCACGGTGATATTGCTGGAATATTGCTAAAAGAGGTGTAAAACTAAACTCACTCACTCACTCTTGTTGACCAGGAGGATGAGGAGCCTCTACCAGAGGACGAGCTGCCAGAGTGGAAGAGGAAACAGAAAGGCATCGACATGTCGAAGCTAGACATGAGCAACCCTGAAAAGTTGATGCAGCAGACCAAGAAGGGGAAGTCTCTCATGATGTTTGCCACTGTCGCAGGTAGTGTTGGGAATTGGTTAAAATCTCATAATTGATGATTGGTTCATTAATAATAATAATAATAATGTGGGTATTTATATAGCGCTACATCCAGGTACTAATACCCGCTCGTGGCGCTACAATACTATAGGAGAAAGAAAATAGTTAAAACTATTTACAGAGAGACAATTGAACATAGAAAGTCTAGTAATAGGCAAGATGAAAAAAGTGGGTTTGTAGAGACGATTTAAATGTGTCCAAAGATTCAGCATTCTTGATGTGAGTGGGCAAGTTGTTCCAGAGACTGGCGGCTGCGTGTTGGAATGATCTTTTCCCATAGGATGAGAGTCGAACTTTAGGAATGACAAGTAGATGGTGATTCTGGGATCGTAATTACAACCGATAAATCATCAAAAATAATTGGTTAGCGTCATGCATCAAATTTTCCTGGTTATGTTTGCTAATGCACCAAAAATAAAGAATAAACATGTAGTTCTTTTGAGTGTTTTGCAAATTGCACAAAATGCATTTGCAAATGTTACATCTTTAACTTATGAGTAGTATGTTAGGACCATAAGATAAATTCAATACTGACTTGGAACGAGCTGGTAGTGCTTATGATATGTAACAGACAAAACCAACCTTGTGAAAAATATTGTTTAAGCAAGCAAGTGTTCCAAAATTGTTTGTGTTCGATTATGAGAAAACATGATCGATTGCTTGGTCGATTAGTCACCGCGCCTATACTGTAAGACCAATCTTTGATTATCTCAATTAACCGGACTACCACTAGTAACAGGTCAGTATCACAGCCCTTATACTGTAAGAGCAATCTTTTGTACGCTCCAGAAATGTTCCATACATGAAGCAGACTATGTCTGTTCCTTTCTTTTGCATTAAGGGGCGGTGGGATAGCCTAGTGGTTAAAGTGTTCGCCCTGTCTACCTGGGTACAATGGGTGAAGCTCATTTCTGGTGTCCCCTGCTGTGATATTGCTGGAATATTGCTGAAAGTGGCATAAAAACTCACTCACTCACTCACTCACTCACTCACTCACTCACTCACTCACTTTCACTCACTCACTGGATGTTTCTGTACACAGGCAACCCGACAGAGAAGGAAACGGAGAAGATCACCGGTTTGTGGCACAGCAGCATGTTCAACGCCAACATGGAGATGCAACGGTAGGTGGATCTCATTGGGTCCAGTGTACAACACCAGCCTTGTGAACTGTACAGAACCCATGCCTTGTGTACAGTGTACAACCCATGCCTTGTGTCCAGTGTACAACCCATGCCTTGTGTCCAGTGTACAACCCATGCCTTGTGTCCAGTGTACAACCCATGCCTTGTGTCCAGTGTACAACCCATGCCTTGTGAACTGTACAGAACCCATGCCTTGTGTCCAGTGTACAACCCATGCCTTGTGTCCAATGTACAACACCAGCCTTGTGAACTGTACAGAACCCATGCCCTGTGTCCAGTGTACAGCACATGCCTTGTGTCCAGTGTACAGCCCATGCCTTGTGTCCAGTGTACAACCCATGCCCTGTGTCCAGTGTACATCCCATGCCTTGTGTCCAGTGTACAGCCCATGCCTTGTGTCCAGTGTACAACCCATGCCTTGTGTCCAGTGTACAACCCATGCCTTGTGTCCAGTGTACAACCCATGCCTTGTGAACTGTACACAACCCATGCCTTGTGTCCAGTGTACAACCCATGCCTTGTGTCCAGTGTACAACCCATGCCTTGTGTCCATGCCTTGTGTCCAGTGTACAACCCATGCCTTGTGTGCAGTGTACAACCCATGCCTTGTGTCCAGTGTACAACCCATGCCTTGTGTCCAGTGTACAACCCATGCCTTGTGTCCAGTGTACAACCCATGCCTTGTGTCCAGTGTACAACCCATGCCTTGTGTGCAGTGTACAGGTGTCCAGTGTACAACCCATGCCTTGTGTCCAGTGTACAACCCATGCCTTGTGTCCAGTGTACAACCCATGCCTTGTGTCCAGTGTACAACCCATGCCTTGTGTCCAGTGTACAACCCATGCCTTGTGTCCAGTGTACAACCCATGCCTTGTGTCCAGTGTACAACCCATGCCTTGTGTCCAGTGTACAACCCATGCCTTGTGTCCAGTGTACAACCCATGCCTTGTGTCCAGTGTACAACCCATGCCTTGTGTCCAGTGTACAACCCATGCCTTGTGTCCAGTGTACAACCCATGCCTTGTGTCCAGTGTACAACCCATGCCTTGTGTCCAGTGTACAACCCATGCCTTGTGTCCAGTGTACAACCCATGCCTTGTGAACTGTACAGAACCCATGCCTTGTGTCCAGTGTACAACCCATGCCTTGTGTCCAGTGTACAACCCATGCCTTGTGTCCAGTGTACAACCCATGCCTTGTGTACAGTGTACAACCCATGCCTTGTGTCCAGTGTACAACCCATGCCTTGTGAACTGTACAGAACCCATGCCTTGTGTCCAGTGTACAACCCATGCCTTGTGTCACCATGTACAAGACTCAGGTTATTGCCCCACTGTACAGAAACCATGCCTTGTGTCCAGTGTAGAACAGATGTTTTTCCTTTAAGACATATAAACATTGACTTCTCAGGCCCAAGCTTCAGCCAGTTGGCATGGTCAGCATCTTCAGACCATGACAATCGGCATGGTCAGCACCAGACATAGTCATATCATATCGCACCACAGGGCACCAATGTTATCTGACAAAGTTGAACTTAGATGCTTTACAAATTCACTATTCTTTATGATGGTGATGATGATGACATTGATTATAATTATGATAAGGCCAGACCAATTTTATTTCTTGTTTAAAGGATTTTGGTCCTCAGAAAACCTATAGGCAGGAGGAAAATAAAAATAGAAAAATCACCAAACAAGTTTTTCTTTTAAATACTTAAATTATTTTACTTTTTGTCAATTCATGAAGTGTATATGGGGCAAAACCCATCTAAAAACAATTCCGGCAAGTTTACACTTTGGACAATGAAACATAAGAATTTTATTTTTCTTATTTCTTTTTTAGCGGGGATAATTAAGTTTTAATTTTTTCTTATTCTTGAAAACATACGACAGAAGCGGATCCATAAAACAAGAAATAAAATTGGTCTTATATGATGCTTTTGATTTTTTTGTGATTTTTGATGATCATCATTATTGTGATGTCGATGATGATGATGATGACTGCCACCTGTTTCAGGTAATGCGGGGGGCAGCAACCGTGTGTTGTTCATGGTGTCGTCGGACGGGCAAAGCATGGACGGAAGGACTTCCTGGTGCAACAGGACAACTGTGAGGAGGTGACCATCGAAGGGACAGAACTACCCCCCGGGAAGGGGCCCCCAAGAAGGTGAGCTGGGTTGAGGGGTGAGATTCTCATCTGGGATGCAATACCCATTATCATAAAAACTTTGGGGATGTAGTAAATAAACATTAAAGCAAATATACCAGCAGGACTGCATTTCCTCGTGATATTTATGATTTTAAACTTATCCCATCTCACGATTTGCATTTCTCTCTCTCTTGTTTTCGGCGCTGAGTGGTACGCGAATGAGAACTTTTCCTTTAGGCCTCTCTTGTCCATACTGCCCGTGTTCCCCTAGGCTGCTGTCTTTATAGGACAGGTCCCTAGTCCCTGGCTAAGCTGCAGCGTGAATTGATTAATTACCCATCAAAAAATAATACTCTTTTGCGACGCGGTCACTGTAGCTGTCTAATAGGATTTGCCAGGTGGAGAGGACATCCTCATCAGCAGTTCTAACATATGTTAATTTGGATTAGGATTTCAATTCACATTGTAATTGCATTGTACATGAATAATTTGTCATTATACATCAATACGCCGCTTTTACTTGTTTTTTATCCATAGGCCAATCGGAGGCCTACTTTTATCCTGAACGCATCTCGAGTGTAACCAAAATGTCCTGATAACACCGGGTTTGACTGTATTCCAGCAATGATACGACGTGGGACACCTGAAATGTAGCCTGCACACATATGGTGAATCAAACATCGGTCTTAGGCATGACTTCACTGACAAAGTGGTCTGGAGAATCCGGGCAGGAACGGAATTGTGAAATATCAGTCTATTGTTCCTTAGACCCATCATGACCTACTGTGGCTTCAATCTGGGCGGTGGGTAGCCTAGTGGTTGTAAAGCGTCACTTCATCAATTCATTACAGACCCGTCTCGATTCCCTCACACGGGTATATAATGTGAAGCCCATTTCTTATGACCCCTACAGATATTGCTGGAATATCGGCAAAATCGGGCGAAAACCCAAACCTACCTACCTACTCCATACAAAAAGAGACAACTTTACATTGCGTCTTTGTTTATAGGCCGACGACAAAAAGAAGGTATCTCCATAAGAAGACAGAGAAGAAGAAGAAAAAGGACCTTATCTGTGAAGATGATCCATCACCTTGGCAGCGGTGATGCTTGTGGTCGAGAATACATGCTGACTGAATGTAGTTTTGTCCTAACAGAATCAGCATTACGAGGTGGAAGGATACATGGCTGTGTGTTATCTGTTGATGTTCTCATGGCGAGGTGAAGTATGAACTTTCCTCGTGAAAAGATGCAATATTTTTTTATGGTTGAATTAAATGTGTGTGATTGTTGTTGCTGTGGGATGTTCAATATAATCATTGGACAATTTTGTTCATGAGAATCCATTTATGGTTAAAAGCCAAAATCGTTCAGGTTGGTAAGGTAAATAACCTAGAAATCAAAATATTTTGTTCATTTTCTCCTTGAATTTTAGTTAGTTACATGATTCATCCTCAGATTCAGCAACTTGCTCTGCTTTGAACCATTCAGCTGGTTTTATCCCCTGCCATATGAGTATTTTATGGCTATTGATCTGGGATTGATAGCAATTCTATGATAATATAACCACTATTTTTCATATTTAATCATTTTCTAAATTTCTTGAGTGTTTTAATTTTTAAAAAAGCCTGGCTTTAACTTTAATGTTGATTTTTCTCAGTATAATTTTCAAATAGGATTTAAATAGTTATGCCTGCAATACACTGATACAAATGTATGTGTTTATGCTGGAAATCTCTAGCTCAAAATCACCGTGCAGGGGTAGCCTAGCTGCTGAAGTGTTCATCATTGTCCCAATGAAGACCCAGGTTCTACATTCCCCAAATGGGTACAATGTGTAAGCCATTTCTAAATTGTCCCCTGCCATGATATTGTTGGAATATAGCTAAAAGCGTTATTACAAACCACACTCATTCTCTTAGTTCAAAACTACACTAAAAATTAATGTCTCAGAAATCACTTGTCAAGCTTTGGCCATGTACATTGTCAATATATATGTCTCAAAAGCGTTCACAACCCAACAATGAAAAATGTTGCAAAGATGGCCTGTTAAACTAAAACAGATGTCTTTGGATAAGTCCAAAATCCACAGGGAGGTCTGATATCTGGACCTTTGTGTATTGGGGAGCATGGATTACAGATTGTGCCCTGGAACGTAAATATTGTTACACTCTGTTGTTCTAATTGAGATGTTTATGTTTTAAAGCATGACCTCTGATGTAAGGTCAATCTCTAGGAAGGGGTAGCTGTGAAATTTTAGATGTACGGTTTGTAGCCCACAAGATTTACTAAGGCCCAAAAAATAATTGTGTGTGTTTACAGTTTCTCGGCCGAACCCATCACATACTTCACAACCCTAAACTTTTTTTGAAAGACAGCTGCAAACATTTTGCTACTCAAGAAGTATGTCCTCCCCACTGAAATTTGGGGGCGATGCACTCGCGAACCTGTGCTCTACTTCCCGCAGTTTTTCATAAAATGTTAAAATTTAGAAAAGTGTTGTTGCTTCCAGTTATTAAAATCTTTTAAACCGCCACACTCTTTCTTTGGCAAATTGGTTTTACAGATATTACGTGAAAACCATGGATTTTGTTTAGAAAAATGCGAACAGGTGCATTTAAAAGTATAAGAAAAAAAAGATCCCTACTCAGACCTGTTTCCTATTATTCTCATTCACTCAAAACACACATGGTTTTTGTGCTAACCGGCGATGGCAATTAGTCATGAATTGCAGATAATGTGATTCACGCTCAGCTTTGAACTATTCACACATTTCTGCAGCTGCGAATCATGTCTGCTACAGGTGACATGCTGATCTATGTTGGCCTTCTGGCTGCCATTCCACAAAACAATCGGTGAGTTCCTGAATATTCTTCAAACAATCAGTACTTTCACATGTTATATACACTACATGTTCACAGAACAATAAAATCTGTCCAGGTATGGCCTTTGAGACACTGAGAGTACAATCTTGTATATACAATTATGATAAGCCAAATCAAGGCATAAACCTACACAATGGTTGATGATAAGTTGAGTAAGGCCAGACCAATTTTATTTCTTGTTTTACGGATTTTTGTACTCAGAAAGCCTAAAGGCAGGAGGGAAAAAAGATAAAAATAAATAAATACTAAGAGTATTATACTTTTGGCAATTTATGAAGTGCATAAGGGGCAAAACACAATCTGAAACAAACTTTTCTTGTAAATTTACATTTTTGAACAATAAAACATTAGGATTTTATTTTTTGAGCGGGGAAAATTAACTCTTATTTTTTTTCTTATTTTTGAAAAAATACGACCGGCGGATCCATAAAGAGAAATAAAATTGGTCTGGCCTAAAGAATACAATGCGCCTACACACATACTCACAGACACACACGACCCGTGAAGGTCTGCGTTTGAATTGATCTTCAGTAACCCATGCTTGTTGTAAGAGGCGACTAACAGGATCGGGTGGTCAGGCTCGCTGACTTGGTTGACACATGTCATCAGCTCCCAATTGTGCAGATCAATGCTGATGCTGTTGATCACTGGATTGCCTGGTCCAGACTCGGTTATTTACAGACCGCCGCCATATAGCTTGAATATTGCTGAGTGTGGCGTAAAACTAAACTCACTCACTCCACAGACATACATACACACAACCAAACACACGCGTACCAAATTTCTCACATGCATACATGCACACACCCACATACAAAAAAAATGCCGAGCCAACATGCCAATGATTCCACAGCTCAAGGTATTGAAGCTGCTCTTTTGTGCAATATGAAAAATATTGATTCCAGTGAAAGCATGATTCATTGATTAGGCTGCAAAATGAGCATGTACAATGTATTGTCACCTTCAGCAGTTGTCTCCCCTTTATGTGGTTGTTTCCATTCAATCAGCCGTTGTCTCCCCTCTTCATGTAGTTGTCTCCTGTCTTCATTCAATATGCATTGTCTTCATTCTACAATTATCTCCCCTTGTTATGTACATGTGTGCATAGTCTGCCATTAAAGCAGCAATAAAAACCAAAAGATGGCTACCTCTACTAGTTCCTTTTCATAGTACAGGAAGATAAACAGCCTATCCCCAGTTCCAACCAGACTGTCTCCAAAATATCTGTGGTCACATCCGGGGCGGTTGGGTAGCCTAGCAGTTAGAGTGTTTGTTCGTCACGCTGAAGGCTTAAACTTCCCCGGGGAAAGTTTGTCCTAGGCCAAAGTTTCCCCATCCTTGAATCAACTTTAAAGGCCCTGCTTCCCACCCTTGTTCTTATATCAAAAGGGCTTAAATTCCCATTTCTGGTGTCCCCTGCCATGATATTGCTGGAATATTGCTAAACACAGGTGTAAAACAACACTCACTGTGGTCACATCCAGCATAAGTCATCTTGTTGAAAAAGGCAGTACTAAATAGTTTATAATATGGTCTGTCAGTGACAGGATGGATATACATTAAAAACTACAAATATCTTTCACAAAATCATCCAATCACAACAGCCAGAGATTGTTCTCCTTTGATGCAGTGTAATTGTCAGGTCAGTATTCCAAAGGATGATTGAATTTCATTTCTAAATTTCCTTTAGATCTCAAGTCCAGCATCAGCTTAGACAAACTGAATGCACATTCTTTGACTTCTTGAACACGGGATGACATAATATTTAATCATTTGATATCATGCTATGTGCCCCATAGCAAACAATAAAGACAACTGACTCATCAGTTGTCAGCTAACAGAATAAATCTGAGTGACAAATACCAAAAACATTTTTGTTTATACCTGTGTTCTTTTGGGTAATATTGATATTACATTTTATATCAGGGTATGATTTCATAGCGCTTGAATAGACCAATAGAAATGTTGCCACGCTCTTGTGCTGGGAAATGTTACCTGAGCTGGATCCAGCCTGACAATACAAGACACCTGTTTGGTAATATTGTACCTGCACAGGTGTTGCCTGGAAATAGGGAAAACGATCCCTGTGTTTAGGTTGGATCTTTGTACTGCTGTTTTCTTTGTGTTTCAGATGTTTGTAATGCCTTCTGCAGTTATCTCCCTTTTGATGGTCAAGTGCCTTTGTTTAAATATGTTGAATATTTGTTGTATGCAGTTACAATTTAAATATGCAGTAAAAAAAATGCCATAGCCTCATAATAAAAGATTTGAAGTAATCAATAAAATATGTATGAGGAATATTCAATTTTTGAATGTTTTGTCTCCAGTGCCTTTCAGACATTGAGACTGAAGGAAAATTATAAATCAGTTAAGTCTAATTCTGTCATTTTTATTTAGAATCTGCACTCCTAAGTGCAAGTGATAGCCCTCATATATTTGTGTTTCTTTGTCAAATCACCTTCATCAGTGAACTGTAGCTATAGGAGTAGAGACGATGTCCAACTCCCGTGACCCATAGGTTAGCCTCATGGTTAGAGCGTTCAATCGTCACACAAAAACAACAGGATTTGATTCAATGGGTAAATATATTTCTGGTGTCCCTTTCCATGATATTGCTAAAAGCAGTGTAAAACCATTTTCACTAACTTCAATATCATCTCCCTGGTGAAACTGCACTGATTTTGTGAGGCTTTTTGAGACTTCACTTATGTTCGGTTAGAGTCATAGTGCCATATTGTACTGATACTAGAAAACAAAATGGTGGCAGGTGGCCTAAATGGATGTGCGGAGTTATGGGCTTCAATCCAATTTGTCATGACTTGTAGGATTGTCATGGATTTAACCGGGGCTGTGGGGTAGCCTAGTGGTCAAAGCGTTGGCTCGTCACGCCGAAGACCAGGGTTCGATTCCCCACATGGGTACAATGTTTGAAGCCCATTTCTGGTGTCCCTCACCCTGATGTTGCTGGAATATTGCTAAAAGCGGCGTAAAACCAACACTCAGTCAGTCATGGATTTAATGCTCATTTTGTCAGTCACTGGATAGTCTGGTCCAGACTGAGTTACTTACAGGCTTTGTCATATGGCTGGAATGTTGCTTCAGCAGGATTAAACAACATGCAAACAAAAGATCCAGAGGTGTGAGGGGGAAATCAAAAGTGTGAAAAAATAGAATTAGGTCACATTAATTTCCAGGGTCAAAAGGCGGTTTGATTATTATTTTGATACAGTATATTTAATCTAGGAGGAGAAATCTGTTAACCTTGATGTATAAATTGACATTAATGAGCACTGGCTTAAGATCAATCAGTGCTTTTCACTTCTGCTGCATTTTCTTCTTTCAAGGTCGTTTTAAGAACTGTGTTATCAGCTGCTATTGTCTGGTGCTGAATAAATGTTTCTTATATATTGATGGTGTTGTGTTCTTTGTCCTGAAGGCACGGCTTCGATTCGCCACATGGGTACAATGTGTGAAGCCCATTTCTGGTGTCCTCCACTGTACTATTGCTAGAATATTGCTGAAAGCGTGGTAAAACCCAGCTCACTCACTGTTCTTTGGCAAGAAAGACCCACCCTGTGGTGTATTGGATAGTGAGGCTGAAGGGGCTTCGTTGGTACAGGTACTAAAGACATCTACCCCAGGTACGTTTCTGTATACAGAAATGTACCCAAGGACGGATCCATTCTGATTTGTGCTGTTTTCTTGATCGGAGCTGTCACACTGTTGTATTAGATACATTTGATTGCCTTATATAAGTACGAGCATACACAGTAACAAATATTTCGCATTGCACAATACCACTCGCAACCAGTTGAAGGGCAATGACCATATACTACAACAAAAACCAAAACAAAACCAGTGTGCCAAAACCAAAGCTTAGATGGTTTTGGAAAAGATCATTTTCTTTCAATGCAGCAACATTGTGGAATGAACTGCATGCTGACTTGTAAAAATTGAAAATCTCTGCACCTACAAAAGGACTTTAAAGCTTACCTGTTTAATCAGTTTTACAACAGAGCCTAATCTTGCCCCAAATTACAAACTTTGTAAATACCAGAGGACTTTTGTTAGCACTATAGCATTCACATAGTGAAAGGAGTTTAGCCCATTATAAAATGCACCTATTATTATCATTATTACATACAGTTTTGATTTTTGGTTGCGGAAAAAAGTACTCGCCGAACGTTTAGTGTACCAGGTGATACCAGGTGAGATTCTGTATTTTGACTTTGTTCAGTGTATATTTCTGTATCCAGAACACACCTGTAACACCTGTGCTGACAATGCCCCCTTCAGGATAGTGAGAGAAGAGAAGTTGTGTGGTTTGATCCCCGTTGTTTCATGTGTGTGTAACAGATGCTTATCCTCGCCAATGCAAACGGCTATGTCCTTCCCTGGCCTTCCAAATCGCCTGATCTGAACCCGATCGAGCCACTATGGAACGAACCTGATCGACGCGTCAGTAAACATCACCATCGTCCACGGACACTTGCAGAATTTGACAACGTATAATAATGAAATAAAACAATCAAACCAAATAGAGGGTAATTCCTTATGAGAAAGGCCGATCACGTGGGAAAGCGCACGTAAAATATCCAAAGCAAGCCCCGCAAGATCGTGAGAGAGACCATGGGAGCCGTTAAGCAAAAAACGCTCGTGTGTCCGTTTGAATATCTCCCTTGCTTATAAAAAAAACCTTCAAATTGGGCAACGCAATTATGCTAGCTAGGTTCCTTGTAATGTCGAAATGACGATATATACTTTTCACTATTTTATAAACATTCACATGCTGTTATAAACGTATTAAGTACTTGGGATTATTTTGATAAAATTACTCCAATCCTCACACGCATACGGATTGATTTGTCGTATTTTCGCACATTACATTTATCGATTGGGGACGGGTCTTCTTAGAGGTAACGGAAAGGGGCGAGTAGTGACGAATGCTTTGCGAGTGTTTATCATAGGGGTGACTATTGAGGGGAAAACAACTATTGCGATATCGATAGTCTGTTGCGACCAGCAATTGCAATACTATTGCAATAGGGTTTTTTCTTCTTGATATGTCTCATTTGAAGTTATTTCCCAAATGAAAGTATAGTTTATATATCCGATAAAAACAAGTTGAAGTATTCCAGTCTCTTTTAATAACTGACAAGAAACTTGAAACCCAGATCAAGCAAACAGTTAAAACATAAACTCAATGAATTCCTGAATTTTGCGCTGCGCAGTTATCAACGGAAGCCAATGCAGCGATACTTTTTCGTTTCTACCATGAACAATTGCAATCCATTGATAGTTCGATGCATCGTTACAGCCCTAGTTTATCACAGTACCACGATGCCATAGGCTGATCCAGAGGGGAGCTGGGCTTTTGCAGGGGTGCGCACCCCTCCTTTTGTCCTATAAGTTTGTTCAATGACCATTGAAACTCGGATGGAAATGAAGTGTGTGCGCACACGCGCACACGCACGCACACACTCATTCACACGCACGCACTTACACACTTACACTTTTCTCAATAGTGTGCATCGCGCTGGTGGCGGAACGTGCTCGACCACCCGAATGTCGCTGGGTAGCTGAAACCATGAGTCTGATTCCGATTCCAAGCCCTGCAGACCACGTTTTGACTCTCACCATGGACGTTGGCAATGTGACGTTGTGTTCAGTGTGCGAAAGAGTTTCTAAATTTTGCTAACCTGTCGGGCTAGCTATGCCTGAAAGCTACTAGCCCACAAAATAATTCACTAGCCCGAAATTTGAATGTAGAAACTAAGCAAAAGATTACAAAAATAGATGAGAATAAGATATTGTCGGCATGACACGGGTTACATCATTAAGCTGCTAACATGATGAACATTTTTATCCGGCCATAATCTTGCATGATTAAAAGTGTATTATAACTTAAGAAGTCGGAGAGAGTGATATATTTACAAATGACCTCATAAAATTCACGAGCCAGTCGGCCCAGTGACTGGAGATTTACTGGCCCGACTGGATTTTTACTGGCCACGGGCTAGCGGGCCAGTGGCTATTTCGCACACAGGTTGTGTTGTCCCACTTTCAACACTTTCATGTCCTAAGCGGCAAAAATGACATTGAGCGCCAAAACCTCCCACACGTGCAGAAAAGTACCCGTATGTAATCTGTATATAAAATACGAGCTGAACTGTTCTCTGTCACCCGTTTGACCATCAAAACATTTAACATTAATATCAGAGCAAAGAGAACGAGCAATTGGTATCGTGGCGGTGGGAGCATTGCACTCTCATGTTGCAAGAATCATGGCTGTGCAAAACGAACAATTGGAAGATTGGTCACACGTTTAAGACAAACTGGCAGGACAGCAGACAGGCCAGGGAGCGGCAGACCAAGCTTGACCAGCCCCCAGGAACACCACCATTTACGGGTGCTTCATCTGAGGAACCGATTCCGAACTGTGACGTCATCAGCGGCGCAGAGTCTTGGGCATCGAGTCAGCAGACGGACAGTAAGCAGACGTCTTCGTGCACATGGTATCCGTGCCTACCGACCTTTCAAGAGCATGGCGTTTACGGTTGAACATCGACGTCGTAGATTGGCATGGGCCAGGAATGTTCGTCAGTGGCAGCAACGAAATTGGTGTCGAGTTCTTTTCACAGATAAAAGCAGGTTACAAATGAACAGACCTGATGGTCGGGTTCCGGTCTGCGCGGTGTTGCCTACAGGAAGTGGAGCCCTATGGAGGTGCGAGTGTGATGGTTTGGGGGTCTTTTGTGTCAACCAGAAGACAGAACTGGTTATCATTGAACGAAATTTGAATGCAATTCGATATATTGACCTCGTTTTGCGGCCTGATGTACTGCCTTTTCTTCCAAGGAATCCACGAACGTTGTTCCAACAGGACAATGCTCCTCCTGACACAGCTGCTGCCACAAAGAACTTCTTAACCGCCAACAATATTGGCGTCTTGCCTTGGCTAGCAATATATCCAGCGTATCTCCTATAGAGCACCCGTTGGACCGTCTCGGACGTCGCATCTGAAAGCGTTTACCGCCTCCGTTGACAAGGAATGCGTGGACTCAGGCCCTGTAGGGAGAATTGCGACAGATCACGTGATCAGATGACTTGTCCACTCTGTGCGACGTCGTGTACAGGCATGTATCAACGCCGGAGGTGGTCACACCCGTTACTTGAGACTTTCCGGCCCTTTGGAACATTTTATGCTGTGATGTGTCTGTTGGCATGTGCTTGAAAACCGGACAATCAACCGTCGTTTTCAAACGTAGCCTACAAACATGTTGCATGAAGCCTGATCTCTATGTTTACCTACCGAATTGTACAATATATTTTGTTTATTGATATGACACCTTCAACATACTTATTTTGTTTGTCATTTCTGTTTGAGAGACGATAAAATACATGGGGACGTTTCTTTTGCACGTGGGTGTAATTTCATGTTGACTTGAAAATGTGATCCTTAGCAAACTTTGAGTAGTATATTATAATATATAGGTCGTCAGCACCGAAAATATACCCAGTCTTGACTATCCTCTGATGTAAAGGTGAGGTGAGGTGAAATGGGGTTTCGCTCATATGACGACGACGTGCATGCGTGTGTATGTGTGGCTGCTTGTACTAGCCCAGACTTAAGCTGGTTTTATAGTGCTAGCCCACTGAGATACCATGCCGCAGTGAAGCATGAATACCCCACTCAGACACATTATACTGACTCCGAGCCGACCAGTCCTTGTTGTACCCATTAATGCCGAGCGCCAGACAGGGACCAACGAGTACCGTATTTTAACGTCTTTTGGTATGACGCAGTCGGGGATCGAACCCGCGAACTTTCGCTCTCCGGGCGGACGCTCTAACCACTACTGCACGTAGGTGGTGATGTAAAGAATAGATGGTGGTGAAAATTATGTGAAAAGCAGTGATGACACCAGGTGTTCGTGAAAACACTATCATCTAAAGTAATATTTGTTCTCTCAATACAAAACTATAAACTATAAGCGTCGTAAAACCATATTCACTCACTCACTCACTTACTTTAGTTAAATTGTATGGCCTAACATTCATCAATACGCCATTTGTTTTTGAATATAGCATAGTACTTGCCCAAATGGAAGATACTTTACCGTTTGACTTTGATGAAATTGGTCAAACAAAATTTATTTATCATTGGAGTTTTTACCAAGGTATGCAAGGGAATCCCAAAGCCACTTCAAATCCGTTTCATACAATATATTTTAATAGATGTTAAATACACATTAGAAGGTACAGCATACGAGACATCTCGGGGGATTTACTCAAAAGCACAATCATTCTAACTTTCACTTGAATTCCAAATATGCACCGCCCAAGTTCCCCATACACCGTATATTCACTGTTTTTTAATGAAGAATATATTGTTATTACCCATATGGGAAGGAGGTCACAGGGTAGTATTTTCCTGTAAGTACCTAGGGAGGCTACACCTTTTGGTGAACGTTGATTGGCTGCTCCAGAAAATAAACGATTTCATTGGTTACAAACAATATGCCGGAACTTCTTCATTCATCTTTTCAATTCATTCATTGTCTTACACTCATTTACACGAGAATAAGAAAAATAATTACTGAATAAACTCAGTTTTCTTTATTTATAAGTACATCACTGTAAACTCGTGGAAGTAACAGCAAGTTGTAGAAAAACCAAAAAAATCACAATGTTGCAAACGGTAATACAATACGTCTGCTTGAAATCACGTGAAGCCTAAGAACGTCAACATTGCAACCTTGTGACGTCACGAACCTTGTGACGTCACGAACCACCCTTCCTCTGTTGTCGATGTAACAAACATGGCATCTCCGCTATCGCCAGTAAATGTCAATGACAAAGTAAAGGTTGATGGCTAGAAAGGATATTGGGAAAAGTTGTAGATATTGTTCAGCCACTGAACACGTTCAATGTATTTGTTGTGAGGACTGAACAAGGCGAGATGTAAGTTCCCAGGTTTCGCATCCGTGTTGTGAGACTGTCACGTCTCGCCTCCAAACGAACTGGGGCGGTGGGGTAGCCTAGTGGTTAAAAGCGTTCGCTTGTCACGCCGAAGACCCGGGTTCGATTCCCCACATGGGTACAATGTGTAAAGCCCATTTCTGGTTTCCCCCGCCGTGATATTGCGGGGATATTTGCTAAAAGCGGCGTAAAACACAATTCACTCACTCACTCACCCCAAATGAACTACTCGCACACAAATTTGATAACATACGGTCTTGCTTGCAATTATGAATACATAGTTTTTTTCAAGCATTCAAGTACAGTATTATTATCAAGTATTATTATTTGAGAAACTATACTTCAGAAAAACATTGTTCTAAGGGACTATTTAGTATCGTTATATTAATTAAACAAGTCTCCCATCAAGGCTCGAGAATTACGTAATTAATATAATTCGAAAAAGATCATCTGTAATCCCCGTCACTCGTTAGTTATTGTTTAAATAAAATTTCAAATGCACGCTCGTTTTCATATCCCCGAACTTCAGATGCACATAACGGTATAAGCCGAACCAGTTAAGCCATCAATTTCAACTATAGATCAATAGGAATATCTAAAAGTTGTTTTTTTCTGAAATAGAGTACATAAAGCTCTTCATTTCTTAAAAAGCGATATTGGCGTCAAATCAATTCCACCACTGCAAATTGGCGTTGAATTGAGACAAGTCAATAGAGACAATTTTTATAAAAACTACATGAAACTGAACATTAATTGTAAATAAATATTGTTTTTAATAATGAAACAAAATATGTTTTTACATGTTCTGTATTTGCAAAAATAAGATGTGATTTCAATTAAAGCACTCGCCCAAATGCACACATGGGTTCAATTGTCTAAGTGGCATTTTAGAAGTTGGGAGGTAATAATATTGACAAACCTTATGGATAAAAACTTTTATTTCGTCACACTCACGAAGTTAAATAGTTGTTAACTATAAATTACTCTGCTCAATTGACTGGTCGTCAATGTCTTGGCAGATTTGCTGCTGACGTAAACATAATTAAATGTTTGATCGATTCTCGTGTATACTGACAGATAAAGAGTATACTAGTATCTGTGCACACACGCCATGTTTATTCGTCCGGATAAACGAGTCATGGTCATGGCGTAATGCCTCACGTCGTTATGTACACGTCCTGTTGAGTCGGCGTGAGTGAGTATGGTTTTACGCCGTTTTTAGCAATGTTCCAGCAATATCACGGCGGGGGGACACCAGAAATGGGCTCCACACATTGCACCCATGTGAGGAATCGAACCTGGGTCTTCGGCGTGACGAGCCAACGCTTTAACCGATACGCTATCCGACCGCCGAGTAGTCGTCGGGAAGTACTCTGTCTCACAGTCCCTGAACTACATTATTTCCCCTACTGCCTAGCCCTCTCTGCAACGCTAAAGCCCTAAGTAAGGCAAGTCTAGACCTTCTCGGGTGAATCTCTGGACTTCCCTGGGCTCCTTTCCAATTTAAATGGGTTTATTTGTTACAATCAAAAATATACACACTATTATACACAAAGCGTTAGTCTAGTCTAGATAAACGGGATGTTACTGAACACATAAAACAATTTCCGTACCGTACCACCCGTGTAGATCCGAGTAAGAATTGATCTTCAGTAACCCATGCTTGTCGTAAGAGGCGACTAAAGGGATCGGGTGGTCAGATTCGCTTGGTTGACTCGTGTCATTGTATCCCATTTGCGCAGATCGATGCTCATGCTGTTGATCACTGGATTGTCTGGTCCAGACTCGATTACTTACAGAACGCCGCCACATAGCTGGAATATTACAGTGCAGCCTTAAACAACCAACTAACCAACCATACCATACCGATTGTTCTTTATACATTTGTCACACCCTATTATGTCAGCCCTTTGAAAACACCCAACATCGATGTCTGATAAGGAACTACACCATAAATCTGCCTAAACCGACCTTGATGTCAAAGTATGTGTGAACTCTACCCAACCCGCCTGTGAGAAATGATAAAGAACATTTAGCCAAAATGCGTTTGAGCTGCCCCCTTTAACGGTTTAGTCACCCAAAGGGAGATAACTGGTGGACGGCAGCTTTCCTTTGATCGCCATTCATTGATATGTCATCTGTCAAACGTGACAGTGAGATATGTCTGTATTTACGGTGATCGGTCACGGAGTAGCACATAAATTTATCAATTACAACATTTAGATCCCGTCCTCGTTTATGTCATGAAACTATTTTAGGAATTTAACGGAAAATCGCCAAAATTGATTCTGATGAGAAATGAGCGAAGCTTTCGGCAAAACGAACAAGCTCAAATATTTTGCAATGAATTCATAGGGATGACTGATCACTCCATATCTTAATTTGTCCAGTCTCACGCTTATTTAAACCGGGGGAGATTTTGTGTGTGTGTGTGTGTGTGTGTGTGTGTGTGTGTGTGTGTGTGTGTGTGTGTGTGTGTGTGTGTGTGTGTGTGTGTGTGTGTGTGTGTGTGTGTGTGTGTGTGTGTGTGTGTGTGTGTGGGTGTGTGTGTGTGGGTATTCATCAATGTGTGGGTGGGTGTGGTGGGAGTCGGGGATGGGGGGTTTAGCCGTGTGGTTAAATCGTTTACACGTAATGACGAAGACCCGTGTTTGTTACGTGAAGCCTATTTCTAGTATCTCCTGTCGTGATATTGCTGGAAAATTGCTAAAAGCGGCGTAAAGCCATACTCACTCACTCACTTAATGTTTGACTGTGTTTGACTAATGAAACCATGGTCATTCTGTAACCCTAATCTCAGTTCAATTATGTTCAGTGACTATAGCTTCAATGGAGTAAAAAGACTGAGAGCAACAAAGGATACTAAAATGAAAACCACTATGATACATACTGTAGCCCTGAGTCAATGGACAAATAGTGCACAACAAATACAATAGTCACGACACCATGACTCACCTCATTCCTTAATACGGATGAAACACCATTCCCTACAATGTCTACATAGATCAAATTG